ATCGGTCAAACTGGTAGAACATTTAACAAACGTATAGCAGAACACAAAACTTTCAATATTAAAAAAAAACAGATTCTACGTACACACTTCACTTTCTAGATCATAATCATTCGTTTAATGACTAATTTCAAATTCTCCACATTAAAAATAAAGGGCTTTCTTTATTATGGAAATTAATAAATACAGATATAACTCTGAATGACCAACTGGAGACAAATAGCTCTTAACTCCTTAAATTATTCAGTTAAAGATTATAAAGTGTAGAGGCATATTAAAAATACATCACTTTAATAGGGAACTCTGCCGAAACAGCTGTAATGATAATAAATTATAATAAATTTTGTAGAAGTGTCGAAAACAAAAGTTTTCTGTGTTTTATTATTATATAAAATGAAATTCCACCAAGTAACGGTCGAATCCATCACTTATCAAGAAGAAGAATTAAAAAGTATAAAACGCACTTTTAAACCAAAACGAATATAATCAACAAATAAGCAGGAAAGCCACAGAACATCATTATAACCACAGACATAATTGAACGGCTTCTAAGTAAACATGACTTCACTGCATACAACCCCTAAGAACAATCAAATCTACATTAAGAAACCTAAAAGAAAAAATAGCTCTAGAAAATCAAGAAGTTTATGCCCTGTGGCATTTGTCATCAAAAATACATAGGACAGACCAAGCGACGAATATCCGCTCGACTACAAGAACACAGACTCAGTATAGAAATCACATTATAAAGTGATATAATTTAATGTTGATTTAAAACACTCAGGTTCAAAAATTTCCAGAATCTATCACAATGATAACAAATATGTAACAGATAACTGTGATTGTCGATTTTTTATAATCAAATTGATACACAAATTAAAAACAGTACGTAGCACCCAATCCAAATTGTGTTTCATAATTCGGATTGGGAGACAAAAACAGTTTTTACACAATTCCAAAGAAATTATTTTGTCGTATATGTGGATGTGATTTGTATTCAAATATATTTAAACTAAACGTACAAACTTATAAACTAATCTTTTTGTACCAATAAATGAAGTTTTAGTATAAATATGCTTTAAGTTAAATAAAAAAAAATATAAATGTCTAGAAACTAATTGACGAAATAAATATTTGACTATAAGTTACTTTTTTCTACCCGACGGTTTTACTTTATTTCAGAAATTCTATGATTACTTTAACTTCACTTAGTATGTGGTAAGTTTAGATAACTGGAACTATTTCATATTTTATGTTCTCTATTTTAAAGTACTCCTTACATTTACCCGATTAATAAATATTTTGATACAAAACTTTAACCTTCCACTTATAGATTGCTCTAATTAAGAGCATTCAATTTTAATTCAGGGTTGAAGGAAGTTTACTTTTTGAATAAAAATTATTCTTCCATATTGGTTTGGTGGAAAAATACAGATAATTCACTTGGATAAGAGCTACTGTTGCAATTATTCGTGATGTAAACTTCTGGAGTTCAGTTATTACCGGATCTATATCAATTTTGAAAAAATGCAAGAGCATTTTTTTCTCCGGAAATTATTCAACTAGGAATCACAAGTCTACTAAGGTAGCACCCATAAACAGACTATTGGAATAGCACTTTATATGCTAGTTTTATAATTAGAACGGAAAACAAAAGAGGCTGTGACATTCTTCAAACATCCTTTAAATAAAATAATTCCTAATTACTATTTAAATGGGAATAAGCCACAATTAAAGGTTAAAGTACGTTTATTGACTTTTCAATTTCCACTTCGGAAATCGTTCTCAAAATTCAAACATTGTATTTTGAGAACGATTTGCTCTAACTTCACAATCGGCTGTAATAGGGTACTTCCCCGATCGATATGTAATATACTATTAATTAAATAACAACTCAGGCACACTTGGTGTTCAATTATAACCTTTTACATATGCGATAGAAAAGGAAATAATCAGATTAGTGGAGTTTTTATTTTGATTTCTGGAAAAACGTTTAACGAAGATTGGGTTTGTAATTTATTAGCCAGCTTTACGGATAAATCACGCTTATGGACTCCATAAATATTACTCACTTTAGTACATTCACACCTATTCATATTTTTGACAGTTAAAAGGGAAGTACCAGTTGTGTTATTGCTTTAAAAAATATACGTTAATTTGTGTTTTTGTCCAAACACTTCTAGAATTGTTAGACAAATTCGTTGTTCTCGTTTTAAAGTTTTGTATCATAATAAATCGGGAAAATATAAAGGTAACATATTATAGATGTAACTATCGATGAATTTATATCTGCAAGATGATCTTATTTTAAATTCGAGTTAGTACTGTAGTTTACCATTTAAAATAAATTTGGCACAATTAAAAATGTCGTGGAATGTGACTAATGCTACAAAAACGTGAATAGTTCTAAATAACAAAGTATAATTTAACTGTGTTACCATGCAAATTCAGACTAGGATCGATAATTGGCAAGATTGAAAAGACAAATGTCCAAAAATAATGTAAATTGTTCATGAAAGTTGATATAATTACTAAATTTATATAAAAAGTTTTTCGTTAAAGCGGAGAAAATTTTACGATTTCATATTAATTTTAAGTTGTTTTAAAGTTAGCTTTATAAAATAAAAAATATGTACTTAGATATCTACTAGTTTTAATTTTGTTTTATTGACGTACTTAGTTTTCAGTACTATCTTTTATTATCTGACTGTATGTTTCTGTCCTTTGTATCTATTATGTACATTTTTTGTTATATGTTATATGTATATTAGATTGATTCCGTTATTTATGCCTTTAACAAGTTCAATATAGAAAGATCCCTTATGCTAGCCTATAACTGTTTACATAAAGAACGAATATGAAAACGTAAAAACCTCTAAAATAAATATAATAACATTTTAACGGATAACATACCATGCTTTGAATTGAATCGTTTATTTCAAAAACCAGCTAGCGAAAAAATATCAAAAAATGTGTTTTGGATGGTACTGTACATTTTAAAGGTAAATACATCTTTTAGTGCAGAAATAACCTATGTTTCATATCAGCAATGTTATTTGGCAGCCTTGAAAATAATTCGTTTATTTCAGAAAGAACCTAAACGCCGTCGCTTAGGTTCTTTCTGCGATAAATTGCACTCACTCGTGACGGTTGGATTGGCGGTGAATTTTGTAACTCGCTGTTTTGTTCGATTTAAAGGTTAGGTAACACTGAGTGATTAGTTTTCGTGAGTTTTCGATGAAAATTAGGTGTTATTTTGTTGTTTATTGTTACGTTATATAGTTCTTAAGCCATGTCAGATAGTACAGATGATGAACCTAGTCCCAAGCGTAGGCGTGGAGTTGTGCACGAAGAAAAATACAAACGGAATATTATTCGGAATGCTAGGCTCAAAGGACTGCAGTACGTCTCGTACAAAGGAAAATAAGTTCCCAACAAAGCCCCGATGAATGATATAAACTGTAAGTGCAATTTGAAATATTCTTTGAAACTTACGGATGAAATAAAACGAGAACTATGGGAAACATTTTACTCTTTAGAAAATAAAAACACCCAAGACACGTACCTCCAAGGTTTAGTGGAGGTTTTGCCTGTGAAACGTAGACGCAAAAACCGCAGGCCTAATGTAAATAATGAGCAAGCTCAAGAAAACCTTGATGTGCCTACTGATGACTTGCCAAACAAAAAATCCCATTCATACAAGTATAACTTGAAAGTAAATGGTGTTCTTACTCAAGTTTGTAGAGGTGTTTTCTTAAAAGTGTTTGCAATTTCTGACAATCGAATCAAAAGAATAAATAAATGTTCTGACCTTCACAAAACCCCTGTAGATATGAGGGGAAAATCTAGAAGTGGAAACGCTCTTCCAGGTAACGTTTGTGTGAGAATTCAGCAGCACATTGAGAAATTTGATGTCAAGGAAACTCATTATGGGGGAAAACCTAAAAAATATCTTGACGCTAGGCTTGATGTCGCAAAAATGCATGCAATGTTTATTTTAGACAACCCTGACCTAAAAAATAAAGTAAAGTATAGTTTCTACAACAAATACTTTAAAGAGAACTTTGCTTACTGTTTTGGAAGACCACAAGTAGATGTGTGTTCAACTTGCGAAAGACTGTCGGCTAAATTGAAAGATAAGTGTTTAGAGTGATAATGCTAAAAGAAATGTAGCTGCTGAGAAAATGATACACTTAAGGCGAGCAAAAAAGTTTTACAAAGCTATGGATGAGGCAAGGAAAAACAAAGATGACAACACGGTCGCACTAGCCTTCGACTATATGCAAAACTTACCCTTGCCGCACATACCTGTACAGGAGGTTTTTTACATGAGGCAGCTCTGGGTAAATGTGTTTTCGTTACACGATTTGAAAACTAATTCTTCCAAACTGTACGTCTATCACGAGGGCGAAGCAAACAAAGGCCCTGACGAAGTATGTTCAATGCTACTGAACTATTTCAATGACATTCCAGTTAATGTGAAGCATCTGATATTGTTTTGTGATGGGCCATCAGGCCAAAATAAGAATCATACAGTTGTGCGTTTTTTACTAAACCTCTGTGACTCAGGTAGGTTTGAAACAATAACTCACAACTACCCTGTACGTGGCCACTTATTTTCCCATGTGACAGAGATTTTGGAAGCATATTAAGTCTGACAGATTTACTGTATATCACCTTACGTCAGACGATGTTCTCAGTTTCAAAAAGTGGTGGCCCAAATCATATAAGAAAATGCCAAATTCGGACGAAACATCAGGCAGGAAAGTATCCAAAGAAAATAAACAGCCATTCAAAGTGTCCTAGTACAAGCAGTTTCTCTACAACAAGGATACTCAGGGAAAAGTGGTCGCACGCGACTTCATTGCAGGATTAACAACATCTACCTTCACATTGCTAAAAGCTTCCAGCCCTCCGGAACTACCAACAGAGAAAGCTTATCCTTTGGGAAGGTATGTTTACTTTTATTTCGCCAAAGTTATTTTAAACGTTTTTTTCCTTTTAGCTAAACATTTTTGTAGTCTATAACAAATTTTAAAATTTTATCGGGTTTTGCACAGTGAGATTTTTGGTTTTAGGTCCCAATCAACAAAAAAAAGATAGATGATATAAAAAAATTGATGGAATACACTGTTGGATATGAAGCCTTCTATGACACTATCATCCAATGGCCAACGACTGACATGGAGTTGCCAGAAGACTTGCCAGAAGCTGAATAAGTCCAGATCTTTGTATATAGACATACTGTGGGTGTAGTGTACTTGTATTTTTCGATTTAGGCCTAGTAAAAATATTTTTTATACTTAATTGTATATGTTACTTACCTTTGACATCAAAACAGGTAAAAATTAATGGTTTGACTTAATTTCAATAATAATTTAAAAAAAATCACTTTGGATACACTCATTTATTGCAGAAACCACCTAAGTGCAATTTTTTCAAAAATTTATAACTCAAAACTCAAAGGAAAATATATTTTTTTAAAATATATTATTCCAATAGCATGTTTTTGATTCAGTAAAAAAATATTTGAAGGAGATTAGACTTATACTTAAGCTGCAAATCAGTTTTTTTAGTTTTCCAAAAGTTGAAAAAAGAGCACTTAGGTGGTTTCTGAAATAAACGATTCAATTAATAGATGAAGATATACTATATATTTTCAAACGATGCGTGGTTAACAGTACTATGAAGATTTTAACTTTTATTATAAAACAGTTAATACCTATACAAGTACACTTTTATTCAATTAGTTTCAAGGTGAACTATCAAGTCTGTCGATCTAACAATCTATCGATCAAACAATCAAAAATCAAGTTAAAAAATCGTAAAATACCTCCCTCATTCAAATATTATCCACAAACGGTCATAATGTTTCTATTAAAATATTTAAGTAATATCTAAGACCATTACCTCTCCTAAAATTTCTGAATTCCAGTGATGAAATCTTATAACACTTTGAAAATTGTTTAAAACATTAGGAAATGACACACCCTGTGCTCTTAGGTGCAGAATTAATATCTATCATTTCTTTATTTTCTATCTTATCTACATTTCCTGAGCTGCTGTCATCTAAAACGTCATTCTGAAGATGATTGCCAGTAGGGATCACTTTTTCTTTTATCGTTGTTTGTAAATTACCCCCATCTTGATTCGAACTGGATTTGCGGGAACGCACCGGTTTTGGAGTTGTTACATTATTAGAAGCTACACCCTGTTGTTGAACTTGTTGGACTTTTACTTCCAAAATTCTTGTAAGGACGGAAATTTGATTATGTATTGCCAACATGAATGTAGAATATCCCAAGCTAAAAAACATTTTTAGTGAATATTGAACTAAAAATTTAATTTCCACATATCATATTTTGTACATAATATCAATTTAAGAGAACCTTACCATTCACTATTAGTCCAATAATTAATTATGAGAAGACCTTGTCGTAACCTTGACACAGTTTCGACTGTCTGATCATGAGATTTCGCGGCATTTATAATACGTAATACAGCCATAGCATCTCTCAACAAAATTGAAAAAACTAAAGACCATTCTAAACAATTTGCTTCCATAAATAATTGCAATAGATACCTGAAAAGAAAATAGATTTATTTGTTATTGAGTTTCGTGTAAGCAAAAGAACAACTTTGTTCTAATACTAATACAACAATTACGGCACTGTTGCCACTAGTAAGATTAAATTGTTTTCTGTTCCAACAGTTCAATTTCTCGTGGTCAAAATAGCATCGTATTTTAAAACCTAATAAAAAACGTTATATTGATGCCATCTTATGTAATATAGAGAGGCCAATGCCAGGCATTGTTGGGAATTGCAAAGACCTTAATTTAACAAATTTAGAGAAATATAATTTAGAAATGAGAAACTTATAATAAAAAGTAACTTCCCGTTGAATAAAGCGTCTATTGACCGTAGAACAGAAAGCAGCTAGGTTCAATTAGTTTTTGTTTTTGTTTTATTATTATTATACAATTATATCGAGCCAAAGCAGAGTTTATGTCACCCAAAGTACAAAATATTTGTAGGTACTAAACTAAATAATAATAAATTTAAAATTATTATTATTATCACTTAAAACAGCATAACTCACCTTAATTGTACTTCAGATCTTTGGGATCCTTTGTTATCAGAGTTAGAAAACTGTTCTAATATCTTAGTGGACGGAACCTCCCAGTTATCGATACCAGGTAAGCCTAAATCTCTTTCATCTCCCCACATAGAGCTTACAGTGCTCATGAGAGACTCATCTATCGCAGAACTTAATACAGTAGACTTTAAGTTGAAACTTGTGCCAAAACTGTCTGTCATCTTCTTCTCAGAATGTTCAATAGATTCGTTTTTATTTCTATCTACATGAGTACTACACATACTTTGTTCGTCTATATCTGTTTCGGCCATCTGACTAGTTTGATCAAGAGTATTAACAGGCGTCACCAAACCCGTATACGGTAGACCTTGAAGTGACATGTAACCACTGTCCCCAATCCGACTAGAAGTGGCAGGATAATTAAAAACTTCTCCTTTTAACGATCGTAATTGATCTTCCATATTCGACATGGGGCTTTCTAGAGGTGATTGGGGAGCTGTAAAAAATAATACGTGTGAAACAGGTACACTAAAAGCCAAATAAAGTTGCGTGCACGTCACCAATGTCGTAATTCTATTGTATGTGTGGCTACATTTCTATAGAAAAGTGTATGTTACTTTAGTTTGCTAAACAATCACTTTTAAAAATAACCCGATCAATAAAAAAACTTTTGTAACAAAATAATGTATATACAGCTATGTATATATAGCTTGTTTGGATTTAGACGTCCGTCATTGTAAAATTTTGTGTTGAAATGTTCATAAAGAAACCACCAATTATTGACGGAGTATTAGTCACTACCAGAAATATTGTCATGTTGCCGCGTCGTTTGTTGAGTTTTCAATCAGTGGCCTGTGACTTTTGTACTCGTGGTATCGTCGATTTTTGAGGTTATCTTATTTACTTGTCATTTTTACATTTATTTACTTGTCAAAATGCCCAAACAGCTAAATAGTCGATGCAAAGAACTTGTGGCTTCATTAGTTAACTATTTTGAAGAAGAAAGGATTAATAATGGCCCTTTGTTACCCTTAAACGCTGTGCAAGAGGTAATATGCGAATAAAATATCATTACTTTACTTTACAAAAATTTGTATTATTTTAGCGTGTAGCTGCTGCTTTAAAAATCAGCGTAAGAACAGTAAGCAGCATATGTCAAATGCAGAAAAAAGGTGAACAGTTCGAGTCACCAAAGAAAAAGCGTTGCACTAATAAACGAGTAACAAATACAACAACTTTAAATACAAGCTCTATTCGTGATACCATTTACAATATGTACCAGAGAAGTAAGTATGATTATAACAAATATACATTTAACATAATTTTATTTCTGTATGCTTTTAGAACAGCACGTAACGGTTCAATCATTGTGGTCCCAACTGAAAGATAAAGAATTATTTAATGGTAGTACGACTTCTTTAAAAAGATTGCTCAAAGAACTTGGGTTTGAGTGGATGAAGGATAATCCACGACGAGGACTTATGGAATTACCTAACGTTGTTTGTAAAAGAGTACAATTCTTAAGAACCTATAAAGAAGCGAAGGATGAAGGTATATACCAATTCGTGTTCCTCGATGAAACTTGGATATTTCAAAATGGGATAATTGGTCATTCTTGGCAAAATGAAAATATAAAGAGTGTTAAAACCACTAAAACGGATGGCAAAAGGTTTGTTGCATTAGCTAAGTTGTTAGATGAACATTTAAATAATATCATTGCAGGTATATTATACTCCATGCTGGAAATGAAACTGGATTTATAGAGGGTGCTGAAGCAATATTTTGTTCAAAAACTCAACTTAGTGATTATCATGGGGAAATGAACCAGGCAAATTTCTTGAAATGGTTTGAATATCAGTTACTGCAAAACTTAGAGAATCCTTCTCTAATTGTACTTGATAATGCACCTTATCACAGTATGTTATTGCATAAAACTCCGAATACAGGATGGTCAAAAAGGGCTATCGAGGAGTGGTTGACAGAAAAAAACATTCCTTATTCCCATATGATGTTCAAAACAGAACTGTTGCGCATCGTTTCTCAGTAAATATATAGATATCATCTTACATATAAATGTCATTTATTTTAAACATTTTTTTAGAAATAAACCACAAACCAAGTATATAGTGGACGATATGGCAGAACGGTATGGACACAAAGTTTTACGTCTTCCTCCTTACCATTGTATCTTTAACCCTATTGAATTAATTTGGGGCATAGCAAAAAATTATTACAATAGGCACATTGGTAGAGATGGTAACAGCGCTAACAACTGCCTAAACATGTGGCATGAGGCACTTTCCATGATTACTCCTGATATGTGGAAAAACTCTATCAATCATACTGAAAGAGAAATATTTAAATGGTATGAGAGAGAAAGAATATTTGATCGTCAAGAAATTAGTCCAATAGTAATAAATGTTAATAGTGGAGAGAGTGACACTAATGTGGAATCAGATTCAGAAAATGTTTAGTTTGTTGATGTTGTTTTTTTAATGTCTTGTTTTGTCTTTGAAAATAAGTTAATTATTAAAAAATATTTTATTTTATTACTTGTGGTTTTATTTTGATTATATTTATTGTTTGGTAACTCAGTAATAACTTTACCACTTTTATTGTGAAATTACCTTTTTTGTGAAATCTATTCATGAATGTAATTAACAAAAAAATAAATGAAAAAAAAACACTCATTTTTAAATTCCACTTAATATTGTTACGAAAGATTTATCCCACATAGGAAAAGTCCATTGACGAAAAAGAAGAAGTAGTTCGAGAACATTCAAGATGACATCGAAAATTCTTGAAATGTCTAGTGAAGTTTGGAACGTCAGAAAATATGTATATAACAGATGTTTTTGATAGTTGGGGAACAGATGTATTTTGAATGTAGTTTATAGTTTCAGTTAATTAAAAGTATTGTTATATTGGTGTTGAATAAAGCTAATTTTCAAGAAGTGTAACAATATAGTGTGAAATTTGCTACCTTCACCTTTTTTGTTTACTTCAGTTCTTTTCTGTTAATTTTCATACTTCATAAACCATCTGACAACGCTGCAAATGTTCACAATGATGACGTGAACGCAACTTTATTTGGCTTTCACTGTATGTAAATATGCTACATAATACGAAAACATCAAAAGAATTTTGTACATTTCGCAGTGGATACCTTTCACTAATATTTGTTTCTGGTGTAACATAATAGATTGCTATCTTATATATCTTTAAGGGCGAGCGCCCACCAAAGTGGCGTGGCAAGTAGCACGCGTCTAGCATGTTTCTTAAAATGTAACCAATGAAAACGAATGATTAGAATGAATGACGTCACTGACATTTTGGTGTACGCTGAATCATTCGTTTTCATTGGTTACATTTTAAGAAACATGCTAGACGCGTGCTACTTGCCACTTGCTACGTGCCACGCCACTTTGGTGGGCGCTCCCACTAACATGGATAGAATTTTAGTAAAAGTCATAATTCAAAATTACACGATTACGATAATTACGAAGATATTTGAGATTAAGTATAGTTTTTTAATAAAAGTACGTTTTAGTAGTTAATATGTTTTGCATTAAATACTTGAAATGAGAGTTGAAATAATTAATCGTATTTGGTAGGCATATTTGGTTAAATTCGGTATCACTAATCCATAATTGAATAAAAATTTTACATAGACAATTTTAAGGATAGACGTTTGTTAAGACTAAGTTTAACAGGTTGAGTGCCAGTCAGAAACTGAATAAATGAGTGGATTTTCAATTTTTTTGTTTTTTATTATTTCTAGAATGCTTATAAATTTTTAGGAAAAATGGAGTCGTTATTTTTTCAATCCGACCATTTTTTTCAAGTATATCGTCATTTTTCATATGCAGACGCCGGTGTCTGCTGCGGCACTGGTGGCAACATTTTCCTTTTATTAATTCTGCAGATACATATAGCAGACACTGTCCGCTGTCGTTCAAACCTAACCTCCAAGACTTACACGTGCTTTAGTAGTTTGTTGAGTTATTCTTTTGTTTTATAACGTATTAAATACCTATATTGGTGATTTTTCTTAAAAATTATACATCATGGATAACATTAGTGATCGTACAAAGAGAATTCAGTTCCTCAGATTCCATAAACGATCCAGCTTATGTTCAAAGATAGTCAGATTCTGAACCTGCTGCTCAGGTGCCACCAAAGTCTGAGATGGAAAAACGCAGACAGAAAGTGAATCATCAGATTCCGATTCGAGTGATACCACATTGAGAAATTACAACATAGCAGTCTCCCAAGTGAACCGACTAGTTACAGAAATCAGTGATGGTTGGTCTGAACCTACCGAACGACAGAAAAATGTTTCTTTTATAGATGAATGTGGTCCTAATGACGCGGTTGTGGCTCAACTTTCAAGTGGTATTCCGTTTGACTTTTATTCCACTTGTGTGGATAATAACATATTTGAGCATATTGTCCAGCAAACAAATTTATATGCTACACAATTTCTCACAACAACAGCAAATGATATCTCAGGTTCCTCGTAACTATTTTTGAAATGAAAAGATTTATACGACTTAAAGGCTACATGGCTCTTAGCATTACAACGCAGCCTGAAGTGGTATAGAAAACTAGCCATAGAGTTGTTGTTAGGTATATGTATTGTCAATGCTCGCTTTTTGTACAAAGAAATTACAATGAAAAATATAACTGTTCATGCATTCAGAGAACATATTGTATCAGAACTCTTGAACACTGCTGATGAGAATTTACCACCAAATACGCCTCAAAATCCTGAACTATAAAAAAAGTCGATATTTATCTAATCACAAATTTGCAAAAAAAGAAGGAAGTTCAAGAGTGGGCCGTAAATATTGTCGAGGTTGCTACAAACAAAATTGGGTGAGATTCTAAGTAAAATATCAAAAGTTTTGATCACCAATCACCACATTTTGTGATGATTTGATTGGAAAACCTTCAATGTGTCTTTCTTGTTTTAATAAGACACATTATAATAAGTTGCTACGTATACTATTTTTGTATAAATATTTGTCTTCAAAACCAGTATCTTTGTAACCTTCAAAAAAAGCAGAAGTTCTAGAAACGAATTAATGAAAAGTAGTTAATCGATGTGAAGACTGATGTGAATCGTTATTTCGTGAGTCTACTCGTGGCGCTTCTTCCGTGACGATCGCCTCAGTATTTTACTACAGAGAAAAAATAATTCAACGCCAGTATAGAAGCTTCGCTTTAGTAAAAACTTAGTTAATTTTTTAGCATTTATAAATAAATAATACATTTCGAAACATGTAGATCAATTTTGTGCGAATTTATAACATAGTTAGGATATATTCCTGCGCGTAGGCAGAAGTATGAGGGAGCATATATCGCAAACTGATACACGTTGCCTCAAAACAACGTGATATACAGAAGGAATGCAGCTGTGAGAAGTTATTATAACATGATGCTTACTCTTCATTGATATTTTATGGTAAGGAATTCAATCGTAGCGAAGAAATCTTTTCAAATGATTACTCTATATTAATTTTTTGAAATTTCAACCCTGTACAGGCAGAGCTGGGCATTTTGCTTAAAAAACACTTGCATATTTTATACTTACTTGAAACACTGATTTTCTTCGCAATAGGTAGATTAGAACTAGGATAAGGCCAATTAAAGTCTTCGTGAACTTGCTTTAACGTTTTTACAAAATCGTCCACTCTCGCGGCTCGATCCCGTTCTTTAACTAACCAGGAAACTAAATGAAAATCGAGGTATGCTGCAAAATAGCCCAAATCTGTTAGACGACGAGCAGATAGCAGTCGCCTGGCGTGTTTTTGCAAAATTACATCAATGAAAAATTCTTCTGAGGTACTGGTTTTTGAAGTTCTAAAACAAAATAAGGGAACACAAGTTACATTTTTATCAATTATTGCATTTATCCATAATAAGTCGAACCGTATGCCTTATGGACCTAAAATTATGTATATGTATCACCATTAACAGTGGTTCTACAGCAATAATTGAGCTTTCCTTGCGCTATCGTCCACACCACCCCTTTAAGTATACTAAGTATACCTATTTTTAGGAAGGATATTACATCTCTACCATTATCTATTTCTTTATACTTTTCGTACAGTTCGAGATTATATCGCTTTTTTTCCGTAAACTATTCTCACAGATTGTACCCATTATTCTGCGTAGTATCTTTCTTTCGAAGACGAGCAGAAGATTGGCGTCTATTTTGGAGATGGTCCATGTTTCTGACTCATATATCAGCACTGGTAGTAGGATAAGCGTTCTACATATTGTTAGTTTGGTTGTATATGCAATTTTTGAATGTAAAAAATTATGAACTCCTAATACTGCATCGAGCAACACGCTCAATGCAAACATATGTAAGCTTAGGGTTAATGCCATGCAAACTTTTGACATCTATATTGCCTATATCAATTCAGGAATACTTAATTAAATGTATTAAATACTTTTCAACTTAAAGAGATCCATGGAAAGTTGTACAAATGTCTATGCTTAAGGTACACAAATCTTGATTAGTTTTGTGATTGAAACATTTTCGATTTTCTCTTTAAATGTTGTTAGATTGTTATATGGTCTATATTTAATAGACTTGTCATTCAACCGGTCACTATATATATTTTAAATATGTACAGTTATTTTATTAGTGTGTAATATCAGCAAGAGTAACAACAGCTGTAAGCTGTTTCTATATTTCAAACGAATATTGGTCCAATATGTTACGTTTCACAGCGAAACATATATCATCTTCCAACTCACCATTGTGCTAGTTTTGGTACAGTTTGAACTTGTAATATTTTCTTGCTAAGAAAATCATTTTTGCTATTTCTATGAAGTTCTGATAGTTATCGAAATAGATGAAATACTTACTTTTCGGTTTTAGAATATCCTACTGAGGTAGTCACTGATTTTTTCCTAGCATCAGGTTCTGCCGTAGTACCAGTGTGTCCGGACGTACTGTTCGATCTCTCTACTAGTTTTGGTGAAATAGTAGTACTGTAGCTTCTAACTCTTGGTCCTTGGACATTACCCAAAATAAGCGATAGATCTTCCGCGTTAGGGCTAACAGATGTTGTAGTTGGAGGCATTCCTAGTTTTGGAGGTAAAATAAAAGACGTTCGAGGAGATTCTGATTCGACATCGTTGGGATCTAAAAGAAAAACACAGTTTTTTGTTTTAATGTTCCAAACATAAATCCAAATCACTTTTTTTTTAATCAAATAAATTTTTAATCAAACTCACATGTTTGTCCTTACAAAATTTTTGTAAAGCCTTCAACTGTGTAGAGCTTGAAAAAATAGTAAATGATATGAAAAAATTGGTTATTTTCATGCAAATTTCTATCCCTGACGGTTAGTGATGTCTAAATCTAAATTAACTTTAATCAAATAAAAGGCAGATATCGAGCCAATTTTTATTAAATCTTGTCCAAGTACTTTCGCTCCTAGAGCATCTTCAGGGGCATTTCGTCAAAATTAGACTATCCAATGCCCCTGAAGATGTTCTAGGAGCGAAAGTACTTAAGCAAGATTTAGTAAAAACTAGTGCTCGATATCTGCGTTTTATTTGATTAAAATTCATTTATTCGAGCATTCAACCTTATATCACTTTACTTTCTTTTTTAACAACAAACCTACATTGTACGAGTAGTATTATATATGGCCATAATTCCCGCAGTATTCATGTTGTAGATATAGCAATCACGAAACATAATTTTATTTAAAAATTGTGCAATCGTCATATCAAGGAAAAAATACTATTATTAGGCCTGGCGCATATTGAACCCAGCCGAGGCCACTGGCGACCCGTGCATTTATTTTTCTTATCGCAGTGCATATTAAACCCATCAGTGGGCTGTGGCCGTGGCCAGTTGCTAAAATGACTTAAATCGGGAAGCAATTGTTAATAAATTTTCTGGAATCGGAAGATGAAGACGTTATGATTATGTGTAATTTAATTGAAAATAAAATATATCCTCATATAGTCCTCGTGGCTAGTATCATATACCACGGGATGATTCTGATTCTTCACCAAAACTGTATTCTGATGATAAACCTTTCGACGTGTGCATGAGCTGGTCGTAGAGCGGGTTCAATTTACGGTACCTCGCTTCTAACCGTGCTTCACAAAACTGTCCGCGCATTTCGCGGGCGTGTGCTGAGTTTAATATGCACCAGGCCTTATTGTCAATCTTGGATCCACAACTATTTGTGAGTTTAGGCCTGTTCCAAGCTTAGTGTCCATTACTTCGTATTATTTGCCGTGCTTTGCAGTGTGGTACTCAGAATGTTCTCAGGTTTTCCTCCACTTGGTCTTTAAATATTTTATTTTGATTTTCAGTTAATATCAGATTCACTGTAGACGCTTAAGATTAGAGCACCCGCGGCATATTTCGTTCTCTTGCAAATCTTTTACATGTACCAGTGTATTTTACGTTCAAAGCAGATAGGCGTTCTTCGCCGTCTTTCTTCATCGTCCGTATTTATGACGTGTACTTGATGATAGGTTTAATAAAAGTTTTGTATATCGGTAGTTTCGTTACTTTTGTGACTATGCTGTTAAAATCTTTTTTAGTCCAAAATAGACTCGACCTGCCAGATACATTTTTCTGAACACTTTTGTATATGCTCCGCAATTAAGAAAATTAACTAAACAAATTAAACAAACATAGCGGAATAGTACAAATCGATATATACAAATCACCTTATGTATGTTATTTCTTGCATTGATTCTTATGGATTTGGTTTTATTAATATTGATTTTCAAACCTATTGTATTGGCTTCACGAAAAGTGTTGCCAATTGGTCAGTCACATCTTGATACTTTTATCCTAAGAGGCAGATATCAACGGCTTATTTTAGATCGTTTGGACGTATGGTTAATGTTCATTGTATGACTCTTGTTTCGACTTTCATTGTTCCATTATTACCCTCACAGTATTGATGTAGTATAAGCAGAAGGATTCTGGTCTAAAGACTGCTTTTTGGATCGAAATTTAACTATGTTTGTTAATCCTTGTTAATCCAGTGTGATGGTCGTGACAATATTATTTATAACGGTAAGTAAGGTTATTCCTCTCCAGTTTCTGCACAGTGTGAGGTCACTTTTTTTAGAAAGTTTGATATGTTATCTTTTATCTTTTTTCCTGGAATGCGGTGTATTTCCCATACCCCTCTGATTATGGGGAGCAGAAGTTCTGTTTAGATGTGAATCAGCTATTGTAAATTCGACAGCATTTCCCGGTCTCCGGAAACTTTACTATCTCTGCCTTTTTATTTAATATGCATTACTATCTCCATTTTGAAAGCAGCTTTGCAAGATACATGCAAATCTATATTTGAGTGTTCGACTATTTCATCTAAGTTATCCCTGAGCGTACCTATCCAGAAAATGCTGCCTCCCTTCATCTCTCTACTTTGTCATCTGTTGTTGTAAGTAATTACCCTGTCGTGGATCTTGCAATGTTCGAACTGTTGGACACATTTTTTGTTAGTCGTTAGTAATTTGTTATAACCTCTAGTGCTGTTGTGTTGTGCTGCCCAGTTCTGTTGCCCTTAAATAGAAGAAAATTCAAAATGTGTGTCTGTGGGAAAAGAAGGGCTCAAACTTGTTGAAAGAAAACCTTAATCAAAAAAAAAGAAAACCTTAGTCACATTTGTCTTAATCGAAGATGTTGATGCGCACTGTACTACAATAGGGTATCTTTATTTTTAAAGAAATTTATTTTAGTCATACGCAAACTATTTTGACAGGAAATTTCAATATCAAGATGTTAATTAGAAATATTTATATAATTTTAAACACTTACCTATTGCTCTCAGAAAACGTACTAAATCTTTAGCAAGCTTCCATTTAGACTTATCCAATGCAGTATTTAACAATAATGTAGCGTATTGTCTAGACACTGAAGATGTTTCTAAATTCTAAACAAAAAGTAAACATTATTTTTAACCCTTAAAAAGATCGATTAGAGAGAAACAAATACTATAGACTATAATACATCCAACTCCGACACAAAACTGGCAGCACGTTGCTTCTAGCGCCACGGCGGCTTGAGTTGATAACTACGTTTTGTCAACATAAACATACAAATTTTCTTTTTCAAATTTTTGTATTATTAGCTAATCTCGCTAAATTTCGTTTCTACTTTTACACAAAATGTCACACAAAATGGGTTCGGTGTGCGCTATGTACGGCTGTAACAATTATAAACAGCAAAAGGAACACAAATCATTTTTTAGAATGCCAAAAGATAAAAATGTGTAAGTAGAAATATTGATTGAAAAGTTAAAATTTTGTTTTTTTTAAGTATTTAGCGGTATGTATTTTAAATATGACTAAATTTCAGTTTAAAACAATGGATTGTAGCTTGCAAGCGACAAGACCTTGACTTGCTATTTAAAGAAAAAGAACCTGAACATTTTAATAAAAGCTATGTGGTGTGTTCAGATCACTTCGAAATACAGTGTTTTAGAAACAAAAACTTATTCAGCCAAGGGTATGTTCTTTACTTTATGATAAAGTAGTTATTAATAAATTGTAAAGTATGTTACTCTTTTACTATCCATTTTGCAGCTTGTTTCGTGGATCGGTACCAACTATTAATTTATATCAAATTCAAAATGCTCCAAAAAGGAAGATTCGAGATACACCAGTAACGCACGAAAGGTTAGCTATTAACATATAATTTATTCTGTAATATTTTATGCAACATTTATTATAATTTTTAGTCATAAGAAAATTAAATTAGCAGAAATGCCGATGGATTTCACAAACGCCTTAACTTGTGCTACAACAACTAATGATGCATCAATTAATGATCTAATTGAAAATTTACAAAAAGAAAATAGAAATTTAAAAGTATCTATTGCCATGGAAAGAAAAAAATTAAAGAACAAAACCAGTTTATTATCTAAATACAAGAAGCAAAATGAAATTTTAAAGCGTAAACTTAAACAACAATATAAAAAACAAAGATCATTAAACTTAGTCGGTGAAAAATTAAAAATGAATAAAGTTGGTAACCAATTCATTAATAGTCAATTAAGGTTGTCGCAAAGACATAAAAGAGGAAGAAGGTACGAAAGTTTTGATAAAGAGTTTGCTTTAGCTTTATTCTATAGTTCGACAAAGTCGTACACGCTACTTCAAAAATTTTTCTGTCTTCCAAGTTTAAACTCTTTACGATCTTGGCTAAATAATTTGCATGTATGTTGTGGTATAAATGAATCTGTATTAGAATTGTTGAAAATTAAAAGCAAAAAACTCCTACCACATGAAAAAGTAATTTCTATTGTATTTGATGAAATGGCTTTACAAGAAAATATTAATTATGATGCTCGGAAAGATATTTTTGAAGGTTTTGAGGACTTTGGTGATAGAAGAGCTAATTCTTTGAAAGCATGCAACCACGCAATGGTTATAATGATTAAAGGTTTATACCTAGATTTCAAACAAGTAGTGGGATATTTTTTAAGTAAGGAGTGCATATCAGCAAATGTTTTCAAAACTTTATTTTTAGAAACCATTAAAAAACTGCAAGAAACTGGTTTTATCGTTAAAGCTATAGTTTGCGATCTAGGATCTAATAATGTAAAATTAAGGAAATTATTGACTGTTACTGTTACTGATCCATACATTACAATGAATGAAGAAAAAATTTACTTTTTTTTTGATCCACCACATCTATTGAAATGTATCCGCAACAATTTAAAAAAATATGATTTTCAATATAAAAATGAAATTTATTCATGGTCTCATATTGTAGACTTTTATAATGCCGATTCCCAGCAAATACCTAGGATGGCACCAAAATTAACTAAAAAGTGTATTACTTTGCCCCCATTCACCCCGATGAGAGTATGTTTAGCTACAAAGGTTTTAAGTCATGCAGTACACGTGGGGATCCTATGTCATGTTACATTAAATAAATTACCAGCGAGTGCAGCATACACAGCTAACTTTATTGAGAAAGTGGACACTTTATTTGACATTTTCAATTCCTCAAAATATAATGACAAGAAATTCAGAAAGCCAATTTCAATAAAAAATCATCATATTGATAAATTGGATGATTTAAAAGAATTTCTAAGTAATATCAGAGTATTGAACAGAAGAAGAGTTAATCCAACATGTATCAATGGATGGATATCAAATATTAATTCTCTGAAGTTGCTTTGGAATGATTTAAAGAGCAATTATGGGTTTCAATTTCTTTTTACAAGAAGGCTAACCCAAGACTGTATAGAAAATTTATTTTCTATTATTAGGGCTAAGGGTTTTAATAATAATACACCTGACAGTGTGAAATTTAGGTGCAACTTGCGATCTGTCATGGCAAATCAGTTACTGCAACCATCAGCGGACAGCAACAGCGACATTGATGCTTGTTCATTTTTAATTCAAAAAGATGAAATGCTCAAAAATCCAATTAAAGTATTGCTTAATAATCCTATCGAGCATTGCACCGAAAACGACATAAGTAATGACAATTACGATATGATCGAAAAAAATTCTGAGACTTATGTGTTAGGATGGGTTTGCAGTCAATTGCCTCACGAACAATGTAGAAATGCAGTATGTAACTCTTTTAATAATTATTCTTTAGAAAATACCTTAATAGAGTTAAAAAAATATGAGAAATCATCTAATTTTAAATTTCCAAATGATGAAGCCAAGGCAGCTTCAGATAAAATTAATGAAATATTTAAAAGGTATTTTCAAAATTATATAAAAGAAAGCGTTGAAAATGTTAAATATAAATTGAAATTAAAATGTGACTTTCAAGAAACTCTCCAAAATGTATGTACAAATTGTTACAAGACTTTTATAGATAAATATTTTAATGTGTTAATAAAAGCTTATGTAAATAAAATTAACGACAGTAATAAGGAAAAATTATATAAATTAAAATGTAAAAATATCAAATTAAAGAAAATAACTCATAATTAAATTTGTATTTTGATTTAATCTATAAATAAACTAATAAATTACACTTATTAAATAACAGGCTGTTAAATGCATAAGTTTGTAGTTATCAACTCATACCATGAGATGGCGCTATTTTGTTTGCTGCCACAAAACTAATGGGAAATGTCAAGAGTTGTATGTATTATAGTCTATAGTATTTGAGAGAAAGGATAAGAAAATCAAGTTTTTATTGGTTTCGTATTTTGTTTCGAAAATTAGTTTACGGATTTGATATCAGATGTCGCTATTTGCGTCCATTCGAAGCCATGTTAGAGTTGCTTCCTAAGACAGAAGAGATTTATTTTCAAGTTCAGAGCGACAGTGAATAGCCGTTCCGAAGAGCCCTTTTAGGGCGAAATACGTATAAGCGGATACACAAACGCACTATACGTGAAATCAAATCTTAACTGTCTTTTCCTAATATTTATTAATTTTAATTTAATTTATATAAGTTACATTTAATAATATTTCTGATTAATATTGCAAATTTCGTTTTAATGTAGTTTTTGACGCGACGGGAAATAAATTAAATTGACATTGGCACAACATAGCCATTAATTTAGTTTTTAAGAGTTGTCACATTTTCCATAGACTGATACGTTATCACAAGAACAGAGTTAGTTAGTATATAGAATAGAGACTCAGTATAGTAGCATGACCGAGAATTTTATTTTTATCAAAAACTGTCAACTATTAAAAAGTACTTACTTGTAAAATAATAAGGTACGATGCAGCTGTTTCAAGCTGTCCTTTTCCGAGGCACTCTTGAAAAAGATCTTTTGGTTTTCCTGCTACAGAAAACAGATACGGCCATAACGCTATCTCTGTTTTACGTGCACATTGTACTACAGTTTGTAAATAAACTGGATACTCCATTATAAATTCCAAAACACTAGGTAATTGAGCATCGGGAATGGGTTCTTTACTAGTGGCTTCTTCCTCGAGAACCTAAAAATAATTTAAATTTAAATATTTGATTTATAAATTATACAAGAAAAAATCGTAATGTTCCAAGATCTTCTCGATCATAATAAAACACCGTCCACGTCATTAAACTGCAGCAATAGCGCAGTGTTTAATGCGAAGAATGTAATAGTGAACTAAGCAGGGGACTCAGGACAATGAGGTCCTAGAATATTTCTTGACGAATACTCCAGAAAGGGATTCGAAAACTCGAAATAGGCATATTGTTCTGAAACTATTTTCTTGTGGCATCTCAATGCTATTTACAAAAAACTTTTGTATTTTTAGAACGATTTCGAGAAGTGGAAAACGAAACGCCAAATAAACTTATTTTAAAATAAAATTGTGGCTTATTCCCAACAAAAATAGTAAATCGACATAGCCAAATCAGACGAGTCTCAACTAACAAACTGGGTAATAAGTTCGATACTAGTTTTTTTTTATATTGCTTTTAATTCAGAGTTAAGACAGATCAGGTCACACTGAGCCATATACAACAAAAGCACAGCATTATTTAGATCCATTATGTTTATGTTATCTAGAGTTTATTATGTTACTATTTAAGATATTGTCCAACAGAGCCTTTGTGAAATCGTTCATTGTATGCCCGCCTGTCTGAGCGATAACTTTTGAAGGAAAAATCCTAGAGTCTTGAAACGTGGTCCCAGGAAGAAGAGTTCCATAATTTCAAAAATTCAATAAAGGTTATACATAAATCGCATATATAGAATTTTCGTTTTTTGAAAAAAATATGTTGTATTCATCTACAATAATGTTGTCTCCTTCAAAGTAGTCCCTAAAACATATTATGCACTTGTCCCAATCTTTGAAACTCGATCTTTGGGATACACTTTGGGATGCGCTTTAAATGTCATCTATGCTTGTGAAACGACAGCTCTTTAAAGTTTTCTTTATTTTTGATAAAGTGGCCGTGTCTGGCGAATATGGAGGCTGGGGTATCATTACAGTATTATTTTTGGTAAAAAATTTACGAAAAAGCAATGAAGTATGTGCTGGTGCATTATCGTGATTAGTCTTTTATTTCAGATTGCTTCACGCAGCACAACAGCCTTAAACTTGTTGGGAGTACTCTTTATTGACAGTTTGACCTCGTGGCAAAATTTCATGGTGCACTATGCCATTAAAATCAAAGAACATAATGAGCATATCCTTCACGTTCGACACATTTGTCGAGTTTTTTTGGTCTTGGCGAATCTGAATGCCTCCACTGGGACGATTGAACCTTAGTTTCGACGTCATATCCATAAACCCATATTTTGTTACCTATTATAACCTTTTGAGTAAATCTGGATCGTCGTTTACGTTATTTAGTGACTCCTGGGCAACTTATGGGCAACAAATTTTGCTGACACGTGTTCCATACCCAAAACGTTTGAAAAAATGTCATGGCATGAGCCAACTTCATCAGCGACTTGTCTATTGTGATTTGGAGGTCGTTCATATCCATTTTGATCACTTTTTTTACGTTTTCATCGGTTCTTAATGTGCTGGGTCATCAGGGGCGTTCATCATCTTCAAGGTCTTTCATGGCCGTCTTGAAAACCCTTGTTTTTCTTAGCATGTTTACCATAGACCTTTGTTAACATTGCACACAATTTGTTACGCTTTATTTAATTTTTTACGCAAAATTTAAAACAAATTCTTTGATCCATTTTTTAAACAAATGGAAATCGCCGAACTTCGAAAGAACAAAAAACCTTCTAACCTTACCAGCTGCCACCGATAGGGTAAACAATGAATGTAGCTTCATTTTTTTTATACTTTAGGAGCATGTATACCAACATAATAAAAAATTTTTACTGATTGTTTCAACACGTGAAATTAAAAAATTCCGGGTATATTTTGAACACATCCTGTACAACACAAAATTTAAAATAAACACACGGTGTGTCAAATTTTGGGTCAAATGAGAAAAAAAATATCGAAAATATACATCTGATTTCCATAGCCAAGATAAACAATGAACTGCTAAAATATGGAGGAAGAACACTACGCTAATGGCTCCTAAAATTATTCGTCGATATAATAAATACCGGAGTAGTACCAGCGGAATGGAAGGAAAGTCTCCTGCTACCGATACTTAAAAAGAGCTACTCGATAAATCCTGAAAATTATAGAGGCATTAGTCTGATGAATAGTACATTAAAATTGATAACGGCAGTCATAAAAGATAAAATCGAGGAAAAAGCGAACATGGCAGATGAAGCGAAATGTGAAGCGAAATGACATCTTAAGTTTATTACAAGCTGAACAAGTAGACCATCAGATAATAAGGACAATTGATTGATTAACAAGAACAACAAGACCAGAGTTATAATGCCAACAGGAGCAACAGAATGCATAGAACTAAAAGGAGGAATCCGCCAAGGAGACTCGCTCAGCCATTGTTATTCAATATGGTGATGGTAAGAATATGGTAAGAAAACGACAAGGATACCACATGGCAGCGCATAAAATCACGATACTATGATATGCCGATGATGCAGTACTAATTGCTGATAACAAAGATGACCTACAAAGGCAGCTCCACACCTTCAATATCACAGCAAATAAACTTAATATGAGAATATCAGTAGAAAAAACTAAATTTATAGTGATCAGTAAAGAGCCGCGTAGATGCAAACTAGAAATAGATGGCAAAATTGTAGAACAAGTAATGAAATTCAATTACCTAGGAGTATAGATCACTAGTGACAGGGATATAAGAACAGAGACCACAAGGCAAGCATCAAAAGCGGCAAGAGTAAGTGGTTGCCTCCGAGAAACCATATGGAGAAACAAATATCTGATCACGGAAAGCAAAATGAAAGTATACAAGACAACAGTAAGACCAATCCTAACATATGCAGCGGAGACAAGGACCGATACAAGAAAGACGAAACAACAAATCAACAATATCGAAATGAAAGTATTAAGATCAATAGCGGGCATATCATTAAGAGACAGACAAACCAACAGAAGTATACGCAAACAATGCAAAATTGAATATATTAACAGGTGGATAAAAACAAGAAAAAAAAACTGGAACGAACATGTAAACCGAATGGGACCAGATAGATTAGCGAACATCTGTAAAAACAACAAGCCGTATAGCAGAAGACCCGTTGGAAGGCCGCCAAAAAGGTGGAAAGATAATGTACAGTCAACAACGACTGAAACAGAATAAGAGGCAGACAAGCAGGAGTCATCCTAGTAGCACGAAGAAAAGAAGAAGTGTAAACTGCTAGTATTCTGTACCTTAGAAATAAGTAGGTTCATGCGTAATTCGCTGTCGCGTTCTTCGATGCTTCCTTGTATAGGCTTGATATTATGTTAAGTTCGAATGATTAGCACTTTGAAAGAGCTTCAATTAAAACTTTGTACATACCTCATGTAATAATAGTTCTAATGAATGTGGAAAGTACGGTAAACCCATACAACTTCTGGCTATTTCCCAAGCATGATAGCCCAAGTTTCTTCTTATTAGTTGCCTTAATATTTGGTGTAAATATACTTGACTCTGTAATATAAGACAAGAATATATGTAATACTTAAATAAGAAAAGAAAAGACTAACTAAAATACAATAATTAATTGACGTTATTGAAAAAAATATAGTAGTCAAAAATTTACTTACAGTTCTTTGTAAAACACATAATGGTAATGAAAATGGTGAATTGGAGTCAGAAGAATAGAGAACTGTATCAGTTTCAGCGCCCAATATGACCGCATCTTCAAATAATATTGCTAAAATAAAAAATAATAGATTATTTTATAGTGTGCTACTAGTAATTGCTAAACAGATCAAAACATATAAATAATGTCTACCCCAACAATGTTAACTCAATATAGATACCAGGGTATTCAGAAACACTATAAAAACAACATTTTGTGGGACTTTTTTTTATAAAAAAAAAACAGATAGTATCTAATGAAGTGTACAGGGAAGAAAGGAGGGAATATCATTAATATTAGTCTTATAACTTTGAAAATGCTCTCCTGAAAAATTAAACAAAAGTGACATTCCTCCTTTTTCCCCTGTACCCTTCAAATATTAACAGGATATGTTGATTTCTGCAACCAAAATGTTTCTGGTATGTTTCCTGGTTTTACCTGAAAGTGTTCATTTTATTCGGCTTGAGTTGACAACAATATTATAACAATGGCTTTACATTGAAAGGTTAAGGCGGCAGTGCAACACAAAGAGAAGAATTAAAGGAGTTAGCCCAAAAACTTATAGACATAATGCAGAAAAAGCCTCAAGATACTCAAAAGGTACAGAATAGGAAAAAAGAAAATAAATGTCTGGACTAGAAAACTTTTCTGCATAACGTTTAAAAGCTGCAGTAGAGTTTCCTAAACACTCGCCTAAGTTATTAAGATGTCGGTTTATTTAATATTTCAGCACATTTTGATTAACAATATTTAATTTTACAAATAACAAGGTTACAAAAATCTAATTATTGTTGACTGCATCGTCCTAACAATCAATAAATGTCAGTTTCCCATGACAAACTTCAAAAGATTCTGAAAACGGTAAACAGTATCGTGTTTTAGCAATAGTACCTTTTTGGTGAAAAATTGTATGGTTTTTAAGTTCACTTGGAATTTTGATTAATAATTCTACCCTTACAAAAGTTATCTTGAATAATACTTGGTACGAACCATATAACGAGCGCCATCTATGAGAGTCAGATATAAAAACCAATTCCTATGATGAATCAACTTCCAAAACATATTCGTATAAAATTTTATTATAATGTTAAAAGTATTGTTCTGAAGCTATTTTCTTGTGGCATTTTAAATTAATTACTATTTAACTGGGAATAAGCCATAATTAAAGATAAAATTGAAATTGAAACGTCAATAAACGTATTTTTATCTTTAATTGTGGCTTATTCAGGGTTAGATAGTAATTAATGTTAAAAGTAGTTTCGGTAAAATCGTAAGTGTGTATAAACTCATATCCTGAGACCAACAAGACCTATTTTTATATTTTACTACAAAGGTGGCCTTCTACCAATGATGCTACCTATTCTGACATGATTGAAAACAATTTAATAATTATTATTGTCTTCTGTCCATTGAGCTAGTGTCTATGTCTGTCTATATATTTGAATTAGTAAACACTATCACTTTATCGCGATTCAAGCTTCTTGTCTATTCTCAGACATGCGCAAATATGTACAAACTCATTGTACCTTTTTTTGTTCATCCAAGTTTTTGGATGCTAAATTGTATATGTACGATTGGATTTTGATGAGTTAGCTTTAATTAAACACTATACTCAAATGTGTGAAATAAATATATAGATATATTTGGAATAAAATATTAAGTCTATATTACTTCTGATAAGTTTATATTATATTTATATATGTGTACTCACCCAAGGGATAAATTCGTAAATGAAATGGTAACATTATTCTTTTTGACATAAAAGTGTGTGTTTTGTCTCCATCTCTTGGATACAGAGGAAGCCAAACTCTCATACCATGTGATCCGCAAAACAGCCACAGAGCTTCCGTTAAATGTGCCTATATTATATAAGTAAATAGGTTATGTATTAGTTAAATTTTTTAATTCAAAAATACATAATATAAAGAAATTTACAAAGTTACAAATAATCCGAAATGCTGCTATAAGAATAGTTTTAGGAGATTTTTTTACTACTTCTGCACAGCTTACTGTGTTTAGTAGACGTATTACCTCTCGAATTAAGAAATCAATATTTTAGTTTAGGGTACGCCACTAATGTTTTAGCTAATAGTAAAATTCAGTCAGCAACCATGTTGGTTACCCATTTTCAAACAAATCACCGTCAAAAGATAAGATCAAACCCCCGTTTCTATAAAGATCTAGATCTGAAGCCATTTGAAGGGTGCACTTCAAACATCTTTGTTAGAAGAAAAAGAAGCAGATCACATTTTTTGATATTACAGTAGAAGGAAATCGAATGGAAAACTTAAGCATGGATTACCTGATTACATTAACCTTAACGGATCGTGCTACTCAAATATGTGATCGTCAAATTTGGGAAAAGAATTACATTTTCTCAAAAAAGCTTTATAACAAAACGGTGATAAATTATTAATATTGATAATTTGTTTCAACCTTTTTTTCTATGAAATGCTTCATAAAGCCAAGATTGTATGTTTTCAATGTCATATTCGCCCCCAGATTCTATGCATATCGTTATGACTCAGAATCCATTTCACATTTCTGGACAGCCTCCGCGTTATCGATGTTAACTGTCATCTATAAAATTTTCTGTACTCGGCTGTATTCTAATTTGGAATTGGGCACTCAAAAGTACATAATTAGAAACCCACTTGTTTAGCTAAATGTGTAGCTTCCTAGATGATCCCAGAGGTGCTCGATCGCAAGAAATGTATTTAAAAAAAATTTATCTAATAGCGGGATCAGGTTTGCCATTTTTAGATCAGAATATGCTCAAAATACGAAAATTCCTCTATTTTTACATTTTTTCCATGTTTTTAGCATGTACCCTCAACATTCTAAGACTGAAACAGACTTTAAATTCGGAAATTTTTTATTTTTTTTATATGTTAAGTGGACAAATTCGAATATAATTATAAGTTCGAATTGTTTCAAAATTCCCTTATTTATATAGATATATATATTTATATATATTATTTATATCGGATTCTTCTCGATCGACGATGATAAAATAAAATGTTGTCGTGGAGTAAAATATAGTTTTATTAACAGCTACTGAATGATTACACTCTAGTTATTGTTGCGGTAAAAATTTATAATAGACTGCGTCCCAAACTAGTCCCGAAGCTATTTATAATCTCACAAAAATGCCACGATTCATCAAATAAGTGTATTGTCCTCTGCATAGAACAAAACCTTTGACTTTTGAAAGCTAGCAAATATAATTTGAACCGAGAAAATGATTGCAGGCATTTCCTCAACAAAATATTTGGCAATAGTTTGCAGGAAGTTGAACAAACTGTAACTAAGCAACTAATCGATATGTTTCACAATTATATGGTGAAATTACACAAATTCAGGAAATTAAGATGAATGTGAGATTACAAATGAATGGACTAATTTGTGATTGAACATTAAGCAGATAATCTCATTTAAATGTGACAAATAACGATTTTTGTTACCCCTCTCTTTTCGAGCATGTTGATTATTATTTAAATATTATCATTTATAAGTTAAATTTATTTTTTTGTAAAGGAATTTTTTTTTAAACACAGTTTTGTGATAGGGGACCTCTAGGGTCATCTAAAGAGTTAAACATTTGGCTAAACGGTTCCTAGTTATGTACACTTCATCTAATTTATATAACGATGCACGTCATCGGCGTCATAGCCTGTGGCGTCACATGATACCAACACAAAATATTTAGGGTGTAGGTGTGTTCTTTTTTAGAACCACTTTACCGAGTACACTGACATTACAGCCACTAGACATATTTTATTATATACGCGTAGAAATCATATTTAAAAATTTCTATTAATGTTAACTTGAAGAAATACACAATAATATGTTTCATTTAATTTGTATAAATGCATTATAAAGCGTTTTTATCAAGAACATTTGTTCGGAACACACTGTAACTGTAATCGAACGAAGGTAAAATTTTGGCATAAATTGGTAACACTTATTTGACAGTTGCGGTGTTGACACTTTTTGTACTTCATTATTTTGAATTTTAAAGTGAATATCTCTTGTTTTATATTTTTAACTATCTAATAAAATCTGTTCTTTTTAGAACAAAATTAGTGTGTTTTATTTCAAAAATGTCACGTAAGAATTTAAATAGTCGTTGTAAAGAGATGGTAATACTTTTGCAATAATTATGTAATCTATTTGATTTAAAATGGAGTCAGGATTTTTTTATACTTTGGCAACTATGTCAACTTCGATCTCTGACTTAGATAATGACGTAAGTCGTTATCTAATTAGATGAAGTGTACTTTCGAGTACCCAATCCCAAATTAGAATCCAGAAGAGTGCAGTTTTTACCATCTTATACCATTTAAAATATATTCGTAATAATATCGTTTGAAACAATAAATGTATAAAAACTTCCATAAAAGGTCGCACGTATGTACCTACTACATACGATAAAGGTTATAACTACTTAAATACACTGACCTCAAGCGAGAATGGTTTAGCATTAATAAAACACAAATAGATAAAAGCACGAGCCCCTACTCCCACAAATACCACATACGCGCGCCTATCGGAAGGTTAATAGCTGATTCATGAATAAAATAAGTTTCATGCTCTAGATATACGTATCCCATTTAAACTTTGATTCTTTGTAGTGATTTGATAATTTATTATATAAATATTGTATTATACATCACGATAGATATATAAAATATTGGAAAAATACCTTTTCTAGTCGTCTTTGTCTAGGAACCCAAACATTCTCCACGCAGCTGGCAAGAACAGTCGGTAACAAACAAGCGTATTTTTCTCCATTTCTCAATTCCCTTTGCACTAACAATAGACGGCCGCTAACATTTAATAATATACTTTCATTGACAGAATGCTGACCTCTAACGGTTTCTGTCCTTAACGAAGTCAAAGTTACAGATGCTATACAAGCAGGATGTATTGCTAATGCTGAGATGTCAACTACTTGAGATTTTATTACATCCACATCTCCAACTGAAAATTATATCTATATTAGTTTTAATTTGGAAAACTTTAAATCAAAATAAAACAACGCACAACGCAATTTGTAAGTTCTCATTATACTTGGATGGAAATAAAAATGGAAAACAAACTTTTCGACCCAATAGTTTTGTGTAGTTATGGTCTCTCTATCCTTCCAGTGATTAGCTCTATCACCAGCTAAAACTGCATTATAGAAAAACTGATGACTGATTCGGATTCAGCAAAAAGTTATATTTGAGAAAAATAATAAACTAGATGATTCGACAAAGTTAAAAAATCAGATATAAAGGAACTAAAAATGGAAATAAAACAAAAAAAAAACTTTTTATTTTAAATCCTTTATAAAAGGTACATAATCAAATACCCAAACGGGCTATATCACAAATACATTACAGAACGTTTTCGGAATGAAAATTCCATCATCAGTGTAACGAAGTATACATGCTATGAGCCACTAAAATATATGGGTAAAAACCCATATATTTATGTTAAATGTTGTTAATTTAAAATTTTGTTAAATTATATGTTATTACAAATTAAGATGTTCAAGTTACCGTTGGAATTGGTAACATGGCGACGTATGACTCTACATAGTTTAAATGGTCCTGAGACAAACTGTGAAAGTTTGTGGAGAAACCAACCCAGAAGGTACTTCCCGAAAAAAAATTGGAACGAATACACTCGACCATAAAATTATTTAGTCGCTCTATATTCTTTTACAAATGCCGTGCAATAGCATGTAGATTGGTTTACATTTACATCACAAAAACTTTTTAAAAACTTTCACGGAATTAAATGTCTGTTGTAATTTTTTTTTCGGAAGACTCAAATGTTCTATTAATTTTATAGTACTACGTCACTGCACAGAAATTTAAAAAATATATAGTAATTCAAAACAAACCTATATTGAATACAGGCCTATATACAAAATATTGGGTTTAATAGTCCAAATAATGAGGACTAACTCATTTAAGTGATGATGTTAATGCTTACCATTATCATTTAATTGCAACTGCCATATGCATACTTGAGCATTAGATCCTAGAGTAATCAGTTGATCTTGTAAGATGTTTATGAGCAATATGGGGGCAGGTACTCGAACAATTCTTGCAAATTTATTGTCTAATTTTGATTCGCGTGGATAAAACCGTAGTTCTTCTCCATTATCTAAAATACTATAACAACCCATAACCATATACTCCCGCCACCAAAGTAATCCACCAGCAATAATAAAATCTTTTTCCTGCGTTTCGTTGCCGAATAACTTCCATCTTCTTGATATGACAGAATAATGAGCTAATCCCGTTCTTCCTAAAACATAAAAATTACTTTTAATAATAACTTCTTAAAGGTTATCAAAATGTATATTGTATAAACTGTTTATTCTAAGGTTTATTATGTAACGTAAAGAAACTGGGGTTTCATATGTGCTCTTACTGTGTAAGAAATATTGTGATTTGAACGAAATCTGCTCCATTTTACATTCATTTAATAAATTGGAATAAGTTTAGACTTCATCGTGTGAATATGTTTCATAATTTTCATTTAACAACTTAAAATTAGAGACGAGAAGATATAGAAAGGGTAGAAAAACCCTTACATATCAAAAGGTAGGATAGCTTGGATATATTTAAAATAATTCAGCTATTAGGCCCAAAAAATGTGATGGCTAGAAAATGTTACACTCTCAACCGGAATGAACGTGTAAATGACTTTATGTATAAGAGAAGGAATCAAATATTAATTTCACAGACGTCTAGAAAATACATTTTTATTTTATCTCTACCATTTAATTTAACCTGGGACCACCCCTGGGGTTCACATGGGTACGCTATATTTTCAAGCCTCTCACATCTTATCGTTTTTAAATGGAGGAGATATCAGTGTAGTACGTTTCTAGGAAATGTAAATTCTTGTTAGTATGTATGTATATTATATAGTTGTTATTAAGAATTATTTGAGATAGGCTCTGAGTTATTACTTTAATTTTGTTTTATTACGTTACTAACAGCTGAAAGTTTATAAGAATATTCAATTTGATAAATTTATATTTGTGCAAGTTACATTTATTGGAAACTTTTTCATGCCGTACCCATATGGATCCCGTGGCACCTAAACTTTTTTTTTGTTTCAGTCCTGGAATTTCGCTACAGGAAGCTATAGAGCTTATTTTAAAAAACGATGATAATATAGCCCTAGAAAAAATCTTGGTTGAACCTCCACCAAGTAATGTACTTAGTGATGAAGAATCTGGAGACGAGGATGAAGGCGAAACTTTTCTACATTTACCTGGCAAGCAACTTTTAGCACCTGCAGAGCTCGTTTTTACTAACGGCCGCATTGGTGGTAATTCAGATGATGCTATTCAAGAACTTTCAACCATTTTTTAATGTGTTTCTCATCAGTTTACGCCAGGCCCCAGTAGCTCTTCAGTTGCAAACGACAATACTAATAATTATTCAGAAAACTTTGACCAACTAAATGTAAATGAAATTCCAGAATTTATTGGTTCTTGATTGGACTATCAAAGAGATAATGTAGAAAACGTAGAATATATTGAAGGTGATATATTGAAATATGTAAAAGGTTATTTTCCTACATCGAGTTATGAACTTTTCAAAAATAAAACCATCAAAGTATTTAAAATGTTTTTTACCAATGAAATTATTGAACACTTGGCTCAGAAACTACTAAATATAAAGCTTTTAAAAATCAAGAGAATCTAAATATTACACATGATGAAATAAAATGCTACATAGGAATCCTTATTTTGAGTGGTTACAATTCAGTCCCATTTAAACGTCACTATTGGGAGAAGTCCGAAGATATTAGAAATGACTTGGTATCGAAAGCTATGAGAAAAAATAGATTCCTGTCCATCATGAAGTTCATTCACTGTTCCTCAACACTAAACTGGATATGACCGACAATTTTGCGAAAATTAGATCTCTAATGAATATGATAAAAAAAAAGATTTCTGGAACTGTTTGTGCCGGAAGAAAATTTAAACTTCGACGAAAGTATAATAAAGTATTTTGGAACACATAGCGCCAAACAATTCATTAAAGGAAAACCGATCCGGTTTGGCTATAAGGCTTGGTGTATTAACACAAAAGAAGGTTATTGTGTGACATTTGATATGTATCAAGGAAAAATGCTACAATTCCTGATGCTTATAGCACAAGTTTTGGAAAGGCTGTTTCTCCCTTTGTTAAACTTTTAAGCGAATTTCCTGCACAAAAAAGGAAGTTACTATATCATTTTTACTTTCACAATCTCTTTACTTCAGTAAATCTATTCATCTTCCTCTGATTCAGAGGCTACCCCGCTACTGGAGCAATGAGAAGTAACAGAATTCTAAAACTAGAAGTAAGAAAATCGAATGCCCCTGTTAAAATATCTAAGCAGCTGGTTAAATAAAGCGGAAACAAACAAACCAAATCAAAAATTAAAAAAAATCTTTCCACGGGTACTTGATCCACAATTATTAAAAATCAGAGGACAATTATGTAGCGCCATAGAAAGAAAATCAGGTATATTTTTTGTTAGATGGGAAGACAACGACGTTGTGTCAGTAGTTTTAACATGTAATGGTCTTCAACCTGTTCTTCTTCTTCGCGTGCCATATCAGAACTATCCGACGTTGGCGATCACCATTTCGAAGGCTTCTCGATCTTCTGCAATATGGAATAATTGTCCTGCATTTGGTATCTGAGTCCATTCACGAATGTTTTTTAACCAAGAAACTTGTTTTCTTCCTACACCTCTACGGCCCTCTATTTTGCCTGTAAAGATCAGTTGTAAAATTTTATATCGACTTCCCCTTACTATATGTCCCAGATAAGACATTTTTCGGTGTTTACCAGTCTTTAGCAGTTCTCTGTCTTTGATGACGCTCCTTAGTACTTCTTCATTAGTTTTTCTTGCTGTCCAAGGTATCTTCAGCATTCGTCTATGAACCCACATTTCCAATGCTTCAATTTTGTTCATGATCGATACTTTTAGCGTCCACACTTCTGCACTATACAAAAGTACAGACCAAACATAACACTTAACCATTCTTTGCCTTAGTTATAAACGAACGCAACCTGTACGCCCTGTAAAGAGATATTCCAAGCAGCAACATAAAAATATTCAAGTACCGCGGCCGTTTGTGATAGGAAAATATAATGAGTATATGGGGGAACAGAACAGATGGACCGAAATTTAACTGAGTATGGGATAAACATACGAGGAAAAAAGTGGTGGTCGAATCCCTTTGCATATCTTATTGATTTGTGTGTCATTAATGCTTGGGTCATGTATCGCCATCAAGACCCAAAAATGTCTCAGTTAACATTTAGTCGCACTTTAGTACAAGGATATTTGACAAAATACCAAACTATTACTTTACGACCAGGACCAAATCTAATCCCCTAAGCTAACTCGAGAAAAGTAATACCTGACATACGATACGATAACATTGGACATTTGGTAGATTCTACTAAAGATGGTAAAAGACGAAGATGTGGGTTAGAAAGTTGTAAAAGTAAAGTGAAAACAATATGCATCAAATGTAATGTTTGATTATGTGTACTGTTACGATTTTAAATGTTATGGCGTATAGAACTGTAAATATTTTATGACTAATTCTTTTTTATTGATTCTCGTAATTTCTAGGTCAAAATCTACCTGACACCCGTTGGGTTCCCCTTCGCTATAAAACGACAAATAAGAGCTTTCTGGAACTGCACCGATACCAGTTTTTAGATCATTGCCGCTCTGTCTACATCGAGAAAGGCATCGTATTTTCGACAACATTCTATTTACCAGCTGGTTGGATATAAATAACGGGGATTTTCATTGAAGAAGTCAGTAAGAAGATAAATTCGTGCCGCGTATTTAAATGTACGAACGTAATATATAGTTGTACAGTTATTTAATAAATTGATAATAAATTATCGTGAGTTTTAATAAATTAGAATAAAGACAATAAATTAGAACTATAATAAAAATATAACAGTAAGATGTTTTATAAGCTATTACACTCAAAAATGAATTTAGATTTTATACTTAGTTTGTACTTTTTATACTTGTATTTATAGGTTTTTTATCCAATAAAAATGCATTAATTTTTTTGTCGTATTTGTTCTGTGATTTAATAGGTTTATTCTTTTAATGCCCACGGGGTTCATATGGATAGGGGTAAATTCAATATTTAGCATTGTCAAAAAATTTTTTTAATATTTTTCTAGTGTTTTTTAAACCATTTTTAGTTTAGAAAAAACGCAAATATACACAAAAAAATTAAGGGGGGCGTTGCCAGGTTAAAATGAAGATTTCAACATTTAATTTTGGAATTAATTGATTATTACCGTTATCTTTCAACTCATCTGTCCCATACAACATTTCTTGTTCTGTCCATAATTTTAATATTTAAAAACCTTTGTGTAATACGCACTTCATTTGTTTCTAAATATGTTACAAATTACCTGCTATAGCAATACTGAGACCTTCTGCATCGATAGCTGAGTATCTGATAGGCCAGTTAGTAGAATAATACGTGGATGGAACAGGAATGACAAGCCACTGGCGTCCCTCAGCTAGTGTTGTAGAAAGAGAGAAACTGTTATCACCAAACAAGTCTTCCTTCTTTGATCTTCCCGAAAAAACCCTGATGAATGTATTGGCTGAATTGACATACAGTTTATCTTCACCTTGAAGGTAGAGATGACTTTGATGGCTCTATAAAAAATAAACCAAACTTGATGGTATCTCATTGACGGTGAATGATAATGTCACTCACTAATTGCATTATTATAATATGTGGTGTAATTAATAATTTCTCAGAAAAACGGTTTTATAGTAATGAAAGTATCGATAAATGTTTCCTTGACTCCAAAACCCATTAAAAATTAGATTAAACAAAAATTGCTATTCTGAGCATAATATCGAGTTGCAAACTATGTTGTCCCTTTCTTTCTCTCTAAGTTCTATTAGATTAGAATGGACAAGCACTTTACAAACGTAGAGCGAGAAAATAGTATAAAAGGTTAAATTTAATAAAATATAAATTATTCTAATATAAACCCCCAAATACCTAGTAAATAACTAAGATATTAACTTACCATGCAAGGATTAATCGCCAAGGCACTTTTAACAAAATCTAGCTGAATTAAACTGGTCGGGGTAGTGACATTGCCCTCAGAATCTTTATTTCCAGAATGCTTCCTTACCATCCACAGCTGATAACCTTCTGTTGAAAATTCCATGCAAGCAACTTGTAAAGGATTGCTTCTCTCTAAGTCAATATTTAAACCATAATCCCATCCTAAAGAACACATCAAAAGCGCTCCAAAAGTTGACCACATGGCTATACCGCCTTTTGACCAAGATGCAACTAAGGCACAACCGTCGGGTGTCCAAAGGACCCTTTCAACAGCACCTGAAATGGTTTAAATTGTTTTTTATGTAATATTCAATAATTGACAATAAAGATGATGCTTCAATATTGTATTCTTTCAATTTCGGACTGATCTTCGTATTTTTATACAGTCTCTTGTGAATTACCTTAGATACAATTTTAAAAGACTATATTTCTTCGAGTTTGGTTATTCTATTACATATCTATATAAAGTATATTATTTTGAGATTTGTCCTGGTTATAAATGTCTCTTTACTGTATTAGTTTTTGTAGTTCTGGTTCTGTTTTTTCTGGTCTGGAACTCTTGTTAATTTTTAACTGCCTAATGGCCAGTTCTATTTCTTCGGGTTTTTTAGGAGCAGTCTGTTTTGCACTGCTCATACTTCAGCCAATTGGTTTACTGTACATCTTTGTTAGAACACGAACACACTATACTGTTCTCATGGGCGACTTCAACGCAAAACTCGGATTCAAACAAGACCAAGCGGAGATCGCGTTAGGAAAGTACGGATACTGGGCAAGAAACGCAAGAGGGGACATGCTTTTAAACTTTCTACATCATCAATGCATGTTTCAAATGAACTCTTTCTTTAAAAAGAAACCCCAAAACAAATGGACTTGGATAAGCCCTGATGGCGCCGTCAAAAACGAAATCGACTTTATAATTACAGATAAAAAATATATAATACAAGACGTGGAAGTACTCAACAAGTTCTCTGCTGGCAGCGACCATAGGATGATAAGAACAAAAGTAATGCTTAACGTTAAAAAAGAAAGAATGAAGCTTGTTCCTAAACCAAATGTTAGAAGACGGGTACCACCTGAAAATGCAAAACTGTTTGAACGTACGGTTGAAGAAAAATTACAAAACGAAGAAACAGAAAACATAAACATCGAACAACTAAACCAGAAAATAGTCAAAGCTCTGAAACAAGCACAAGAAAACTGTTGCCCAAAAAACCAAAAAGACGAAGAAAAACTAAGTCTAAGCACGAAAACTCTATTAGAGGAAAGAAGACAACTAACAGATAAATACAGAACCAAGAACATCAGAAAAGATATAAGAGACTACAACACCAGAGAGATATCAAAAGTCATAGAAGAGAACAAAAGTTTAAAAGTCTTCAGAAGGAAACAGCAAATAGGAAAGAAAAATATTTACAAACTGAAAAACACAAAGGGCGAAAGAATAACAGATAAACAGGAAATTCTACAAACTGTCGGACAATTTTACAGCGAACTCTACAGCAAAACAGAAGAAAATGCTTTAACTGACAACATACCAAAGGTTCTAAACCAGGGCTCGGAAGACATACCAGATGTTACTGTTGATGAAATTAAAAAAGCTTTCTTACAAATGAAAAATAATAAGTCACCTGGCGACGACGGGGTCGTTGCCGAAGCCATAAAATTAGGAGGCGAGAAACTGATACAAATGCTTTCCATACTTTTCACAGAATGTCTTGATAGAGGAACAACACCATCACAATGGCAAAATGCAGTGATCATTCTAATGTTTAAGAAAGGAGATTTAACAAATCTCGTAAACTATAGACCAATCAGCCTCATCTCACACATATACAAGCTTTTTACAAAAGTCATAACAAACAGACTTTCGAACAAAATGGACTTTTACCAATCATGCGAACAGGCAGGATTCAGGTCAGGCTTCGGCACAAACGACCATCTACAAGTTATTAAAAGCCTCATCGAAAAATGTATAGAGTACAATAAACCCCTCGTCCTAATATTTGTGGATTATGAGAAAGCATTCGACACAGTAAACCACCAGAAAATGCTAGAAGCTTTAAAAGAGTGCCGAATAGATCACCGCTACACCACTGTCATCAAAAATATCTATGATAATGCCACGGCATGCGTCAGACTCCATGAAGATACACACAAGTTCAACATTCATCGTGGAGTTCGCCAGGGCGACACCATTTCACCAAAACTGTTTACAACATTATTGGAATACATGTGTAAGCGTGCAAACCTAGACGAAAAGGGCATAAACATAAATGGAGAGCAGCTTAGTCACCTCAGGTTCGCGGACGATATAGTCCTGATAACAGACCGCATAGATCATGCCATCGAAATGTGCGAAAGACTCTACCATGCCTCTACACAAGTGGGTTTAAAGATCAATAACTCAAAAACACGACAACAAACCTTGTTGTGAGTGAGAACATCAACATAGCTGGAACAAGTACAGAACAAACATCAGCATACAAATATCTGGGACACGAAATTCGCTTAAGTAGAGATAACCAGACCAATGAACTAATACGTAGAATAGGGTTGACATGGGCAGCTTATGGAAAGCTAAGAGATGTTTTCTAATCAGCTCTTCCCATCTGCTTAAAGAGAAAAGTCTTCGATCAATGTGTGCTGCCGGTTCTAACCTATGGTGCGGAGACGCTAACACTTACTAAGACGTCCGCAAACAAAATTCGAACAACACAGAGGGCAATGGAACGGTCCATGTTGGGATTAACCCTGAGAGACCGAATACCCAACACAGAATTGCGCCGTAGATCGGGAGTAACCGACGCAATCAAAAGAATATCAACCTTAAAATGGAACTGGGCAGGGCACGTCGCGAGAACGAAGGACGGCAGATGGACAAAACGCATTCTTGAGTGGAGACCCAGACAAGATGCCTTTAGGAATAGAGGACGACCACCAACAAGATGGACGGATGACCTGAAACGGACACATCAAAATTGGATGCAGGCGGCTCAGGACAGAAATTTGTGGGGTGAACTACGGGAGGCCTATGTTCAGCAGTGGACGAGTATGGGCTGAATGATGATGATGACATCTTTGTTTGACTATTACGCAAATCCTCGGGACCCCTGCTAGATAGACTTTCTACGTGGCCCTGGTATACCAAAGACTTTTGTATCAAGACGCTATCAAACCATCATCATCATCATAAGTGACTCGACAATCCGTTGTGGATCTTGGCCTGCTCACAAAGAAGTCGCCACTCCTGTCGATTCATGGATCTTCTGACCCTTAGAATCTGTAGGTCTTCTTCCACATCATCAATCCATCTCCTTCGTGGTCGTCCTCTACTTCTTGTGCCCTCTGGTTTTGAAAATGTTAATATCTTCGTGTATTCGCGATCTGACATCCTAGCAATGTGTCCAGCCCATCTAAATCTCTGCACTTTAACGAATTTCACAATATCTGGATCGGTGTATAACTGATATAGTTCAAAGTTGTATCTTCGACGCCATAGCCCATTTCCATTTAAGGCCCCAAAAATATTTCTAAGAATTTTTCTCTCAAAAATACCAAGAAGTCTATCATCATTTTGAGATAAGGTCCACATTTCAGCCCCACATATCAAAACCGGTCTTATTAAGGTCTTGTATATACTGAGCTTTACTGCACGTTTTATATTTTTATTTTTTTAATGTTTCTGCGAGACCGTGAACAGTTCTGTTTGCTATTGCTATTCGTCTTTTTATTTCGGCGCTTGTCGTGTTTGTTGCATTTACTAGCGATCCAAGATATGTGAATTGTTTGACTTGTTAAAGGTATAGTTGTTTATTCTCTATTGGATATTTCGGGGGTTTTTAGAAACCAACATATAATTGTTTTTTTCCCCGTTTACCACAAGTCCTAATTCACTTGCCACGTCCGCAAGCATTGTAAAACACTGCACCATGTCTCCCATACTTTCCCACTATAACTATATCGTCAGCAAATGCGAGAATTTGCGTCGATTGATTAAAAATAGTTCCATTCATTCTAATATTTAACTGTCTGATTGCCTTTTACGAGGCAATATTAAAGAGGAAACACGCCAGCGCGTCCCCCTTTCTTAGACCATTATTATTGTCAAAGAACGTAGAGTTTTCTCCTTCAATTCTAATGCATGAGCTTACGTTTTGCATTGTTAGTTGGGTCAACTTAACTAACTTAGGTGGAATCTCAAAGACTATCATTGCATTATATAATGCAGTTCTTTTGACACTGCCATAGACTGCTTTGAAGTCGACGAAGAGATGGTGTGTATCTATTTTATATTCTAGTGACTTTTCTAGAATTTGCCTATGTGCTTAAATTTGATGTGTAGTTGACTTTCCAGCAGTAAATCCACATTGATATTGACCAACAATATCCTTTGTAAAATGTTTATGCCTTTCAAAAAAATTACTGCAAAAAGTTGATCACCACCTTTTTTATACATTTCCGAACAGATTTCATCGATTCCTGTGGTTTTATTGTCTTTGAGTTTTAGGATGGCATTTGACACTTCTCTCGTTTGGTCTTCACTGTGTTGTTGAAGTTGCAGTTTTTGTTGATTGTATGTTGTAACCTTCTTCAATATCGTTTATATTTAGATGTTCGCTGAAATGGTGTGCCATCTGTTAAGAACTGAGTTTTTATCAAGTAGAATCTCACCGTTAGTGTCTTTACAAATTTTTAATCGTATTTTAAATTCTCGACGGCTATTATTTAAGGATTTATAGTATTTCCTCGTTTCATTTTTATCGAATAAAATTTTATCTCAATGGATATGTTTTTCCTCACTTCTAAGACGTCTATACTCTTCTTTTTTCTCCGTGTACAACCTGCGTCGACAGTTTTTTGATATGCTGCCTTCTTTATAATGTCTTCTACTTCTTCTAAGTTTCCTGTTCTTATTTGATCTTCTATTTGCTGTCTGTATACACTTGCAATGTCGGGATCTTTTAGTTTATTAAGGTCGATTTTTTTCGAAACCATTTTTTTTTAATATCGAACCATCCCACAGCAAAAATAAGTTCTGTGAACGCTGCCTTACGGTGCAGGAAGATTCACCTGTAGGATTCTAATTGGGGTTAATTGAGACCTATTTAGGATAGAGAGTGTTCGCGAAAAATATAGAGGGATCGCTCGTTCTCTCAATATTTTTATTTGTGGACTTAACTTCCTCTTCTAAACCATATCTTTTTGTATATATATATATATATATATATATATCGGTTTTAGAACGTCTTTCGACGTTGTCCGATGCCTAACTTCCACGTCCTTCTATCATCCCATTGGCCGTCTCTAAGATCTCTTGTACTCATTGCTTTAGTTACCTCTTCTTTCCATGTCTTTTTGGGTCTTCCTCGTTTTTTGCGGTTTGGTGGTACCCACTGCATAATCTTCTTGGGTAGTCTTGTGTCTTCCATGCTTTGAACATGACCATACCAAATCAACTGTTTCCTGTCAATGTCTGTTGTTAAGTAACCATCTATTCCAATTATATCTTTTATATCTTTTTGTCTCGTGTTTATTCTATTTCCACGAGTCTGAAGGATATGTTGCAAGGTACAAAACTGCGCCTTAGCCGTACCAATGCTACAATCTCACAGAGTTCGCTAGTTCTCTGGGATATTGCTTAGGCAAAACTTTTTCCCTTTTACGATACGTCTAATCAGCACGATGGTTTTACATCTCGGGATTGGGGAGCGCATTAGCCACAGAACAGATCTCCCTGAATTGCCCATTAAGCATGGTGTAGATATGTATGTGTATGTGTATTTTGTGTTTAGGGATATGTGTGGGCGTGTATTTACATACTACAGACTCATAGGATGTTTTTATTAGCCATTGGAATGCACCGTGTTTGAGATAAGAACCTCTGTACTCTGTCTAGCCTTCATGGTGTACTGTAGAGCTCAGACCGGCTCTTAGTGTAATATGCTCCCTATACTCCTTATCGCTGTTAAATAATGTTTGTAATTTTCACACTCCTTTATTAACTCTTCCGCGTTGTGGATTAATTGCCTTGTTTATGTCTACCAGCGAGATTTGTAAATAGTTATTGCTGTTAGATGTAAATCCTTCAACTATTCCGTACAAACTAAAGTAATAATTCGCTCTAGCAGTCTTTTATTTCTTTGCATTTGCATTCAGTCAGTCTTTCCCTTGCCTCAGTTATTTTATATCTAATATCCCTACTCATCAGCTTATATTTTGTCAAATTCCGTTCCTTGTTTTTCTTTTTTTCATTAGCTTTTGTCGTCGTGAAAAATAAATTAAATTAAAATATAATAAAATAAAATAAATTAAAATAAAATACAATAAAGCAAAATAAACTACTACAAAATAAATTAAAATAAAATAAAATAGAAATAAATAAATTAATTAAATTAAAATGAAAAAAGACAAAAAAATAAAATAAATAAATATATATATATATATATATATATATATATATATATATATTTAATTAAATTAAAATAAAATACAATAAAATAAATTACTCCTCAGTCACTCCAAGAGTGACAGATCCCGTGTTTGTAGGTTAAGTACGTATCGGACCGTCCTCATATATTTTTCAGACCGTAATTAGACGTCAATGAAAATATTTTGCCATATACATCATCATTGCTCAAATCTTATTACTGTGGGTAATAATACTAATAAACTAGTTTAATTAAACTTACCTGGATCACCAGGATAATCTTTACTGCTAAGAACACAAGTATGTGATATCTCTAAACCACCTGTACTTTCATCAATAGTATAAACAACACATTCCGAATTCAAACGACCAAAAGTTATCAGCCTAAACTTATGATTAATATTTGTACACGTAGCATCATCCATTCCCTGAGCCCAAATGCCCTGAACTTGATTTGGATCGAATTTCAAAGAGGGCGCTGTCAAGAATGCCGCTCTTCCATCGTTCAGAACTATTGAAAACCCACCCACTAGAGGCGAGTATTCAATGTCGGTGATATAAATGTTTTCTTCGACTATGGGTACCGCTTTAGCAACTTGTTGGTTAATACAGAATGGTATCCTTCTTAAATCTAATGCATAATCTCTGTTTTGTGTTCCATCCCATCGATACCTCAGAACGTGGTTATTAGTGGTCGATAACATTATTTCCATCATTGTGATACACACAACGCCAGTAATTTTTCCATCCCATACCGTAATTTCTTCGCTCTAAAATACATTAAAACAAAATATTAGGAATGCTAGAAGTCTGAACATTGTAATTATGTTTGAATACTGTAAGTAAGCAGTGTACAACATGAAGTTTTATAGCATTGTAAATAAGCATTTTTCATTTTGGTGTTCTATATACAGTTGACACTTATGGTACAGTTTACTACTAATTATAGATTAGCTGTACTAACTTTCACTAAATGGAATGGGCATATGTAGGAACTACTTTACCTATATAAAAAAATTCTTACCAAAACTAATTTTAAAGGTGGTATCGTTTCTTTTATAAATAATTCAGCACTATCTCTTCGAAGATTTACGTGGGGTGAATCAGTTTGGTGATAGAGGCCTTTATGATCAGGTGGGACTTCTATTTTGTAAAAAAGTAGATGACCCTCGGAAGTCTAAAAACATAGAATGAGTTTAAAGTAAGATATTTTAAATAAGAAAATATGGTAAACTCTTTGCCACACTACCTAAAGTTAAATTTAGTCATATACATTAACAATAATTATTTATTATACTATTACTTAACCTACAGGCAATTTTATGATTTTTAAAGACCATCAGGTTCATTGGGAAATATGGCCACTCTTATATTGCCACTCTTTGAAAAAATACAAAATTTCAGATTAAGAGCGATTTTTTAAAGATTATATATACAATACATACACTGTGATTTCAATTATATGTCGTAGTTACTCTGTACGGTATGATACAATGGTATGAGGTCATTCATGACGTATACTTTTTATTACGGTAAAATTAGATTCTTTTATATTCATTAACCTTGTAGCACTACAAACGATGGAGTGTTTGAGGCATACAAAATGAACGAGGATACGTTGATCAGAATCAGAGGAGATGTGAGCGTGGTTCTTTGGATCATTCGTACTAGCACATACTTATTTTTCTTTAAGTTCCATCTTCTATCGAAGGTTTGAAATCATCATGGCTATGCGGACCCTGCTAACTTTCGCTCTAAATAGTTCTGCACTAATGCATCCAAACCATTCGCTTAAGTTCTTAAGCCACGATATTTTTCGTCTTCCCACATTTCGCTTTCCTCGAATTTTGCCTTGCATAATAAGCTGTAATAATGAGTACCTTTGCCCTTTCATAACATGGCCTAAGTACTCAAGTAATCTTCTTTTGATAGTTAATATTATTTCAGCTTCAGTTCCTATTCTTCTAATAACTTCTGCGTTTGATATTCTTTCAGTCCATGATATTCGTAGGATTCTTCTCTAACACCAAAATTCAAAGGCGGCCAACTTAATCAGATGCACTTGCTTTAATGGCCATACTTCCAAGCCACAAAGAAGAGTAGTGAATACGTAACACCGAAGCATTCTTAGGCGTAGTCCTACCCTTAAATCCCGACAACAAAGAAACTTAAGTTTAACGAATGATACACGTGCTATAGTTCAATACGTGTCTTAATTTCTTTCGTTTATTCTACATTTGATGTTATCCATGTTCCTAAGTATTTGTAGGTATCCACATTCTCAATTACAGTATCCTCAACAATCAATTGGATGTTTGCATCTGCTGATTTGGACATGATCATGCATTTAGTTTTTTTCAAATTCATCTTTAGTCCTTATTCATGACAGAATTCATTAAGTCGGTGCACTACGTTCTGTAAATAATTTGTCATCCGTCATTATTACTGTATCGTCTGCAAACAGCAAGTTATTCAAAAGTTCTTCATTGATAGATATACCTTCTATTAAATCTGAAAGTGCTTCTTTAAATACCGCTTAACTCTAGACATTGACAACCGATAGACAAAACGTATTTTCGAGTGGAGACCAAGACAAGAAGCAATAGCCAGCAGAGGACTCCCACCATCTAGATGTATTGATGACTTGAAGAGTATTAGCAATAACTGGATGCTAACCACACAAGACAGAGACAGATGGAAAGAGCTGAGGGAGACCTAAGTCCAGCAATGGACACATACAGGTTGATGGCGATGATGATAGTAGTACAATATTTTTGCTTTTTAATGTATCTACAAGCTTTTTATGTACCAAATGCGTTTTTCAAAATCTAGCACATAGGCAAAAGATAAATTCGAAAAAATTAGCTACTAGATCTAAACCAAAAATATAGGATAGCAATTCCCATGCAGGGTATCTGTTAAAAATTTTAACATCACACCAAATTATTAACAAAAATGTAATAATTAAAATACAACGAATGTTGTACCATTTAAAGTGATTTTATTCAAATATTTAGTGGCTTGACTCATGTACACCTTGTAAATGCACTGACGATGGACTTTTTATTCCGAAAACGTTCTGTTGTGATAAAGCTCGAAAGGATCTTTTTAATTATATACCTTAAATAAAGGATTTTTAAATAAAACTTTTATATAAATGGAAGACGCCGAATTAGAAAAACCTTATACAGGGTCGAATAAAAGTTACTGCTTTTTGAATTAAATAGAATTTGAAATAAGTGAATTAAAACTTAATAAAGTTTTTTGAATCGTTACAACCTTTGTTATCAGTATTTGTTATAATATCTTCCAGGCAAATCCCAAGATAATTGATTGACTTTTATGTTGTAAAAGGCATTGCATCTAACTATATATACATGGAAGAAGCATCCGATATGAATTCGGATCATCTCCCTATCCTCCTTAGCCTCAGTGACTTTTTATACGGAAAGAAAATTCACCAAGACTAACCAACAAAGGAACAGATTGGGCTAGCCTCCGATTACCACTAAAAAGTATTACTGACTTCACTGGCTCATTAAAAACCCTGAAGAATTAAATAAAGCTGTAGAAAAAATTGCCAATGAGATCCAATAAGCAGCTCGGTATCATACACCAACTATTGTCCAAAGAAATAAAAGCAACAATTATCCAAAAGAATATGATATCCGAAAAAAGCGGGATATGATAGCCGAAAAAAGAAAACTGTGATGAAAGCTGGATAAAAATCAAGTGTATTCAACAAGAAGCTGTAGGAGAGTATCTTGTTGAATTACATTCTGAGAAGACGTCTCAAAATGCCAATTATTCATAATCCTCCTATTAAGAGTAGCGACGGCACCTAATGGAGGCGCAATAATGAACAAAAAGCGACAAGGTTTGAAGACTCTAGAAAATTATATATTTCTATGACCTGATAAAGAACTTAAAGTACAGATTGAAACCAACGATGACATGAATATTCATCATCATCATCATCCAGCCTCTATTTATCACGTCCACTGCTGGACATAGGCCTCCCTTAAACTCCTCCATTCCTCACGATTTTGTGCTCTTTGTTGCCAATTTTTAGTGATACGCCTGATGTCGTCGGCCCAACGTGTAGGTGGTCTTCCTCTACTGCGTTTGTCTGCTCTTGGTCTCCAATTTGTAATTTTGCTCGTCCATCGTGAATCGTGCATTCTCGCTACATGGCCTGCCCAGTTCCATTTTAGTTCCGCTATGCGTTCCACAACATCAGTAATGCTCGTCCTTCTTCGCAGATCTTCGTTTCTTATTCGGTCCCTCAACGTCACTCCCAGCATAGACCGTTCCATTCGTCTCTGTGCCACTCTCAGTTTCGAAGCCGTGGTCTTGGTTAAAGTCATAGTTTCCGCCCCATAGGTCATGACCGGTAATACGCATTGGTCAAACACTTTTCTTTTGAGGCTGATTGGTATGTTGGCCCTAAGTGTGTCTCGCAGTTTTCCAAAGGCTGCCCATGTTAAAGTAATTCGTCTTTGGATCTCACATGTTTGGTTATCCCTGCTGATTCTTATTTCATGACCCAAATACGTATATTTCTCCACCAGTTCTACCACTTTGTCTTGAATTGTCAAATGGTTATTGGGGACCAAATTTGTCATAAACTTAGTTTTGGTCAAGTTCATTCTCAGGCCCACCTTCGAACATGCAAAATCCAATTCGTTTAACATATCTGTAGCTTCTCCTAAATTATCTGTGATAAGGACAATGTCATCTGCGAAACGGAGATGGTTAAGCTTTTCGCCGTCTATCGTTACTCCTCTGTGGTCCCAATTGATCATCTTAAAGGCATATTCTAATGCCGTTATGAATAATTTCGGCGACAATGTATCTCCTTGCCTTATTCCACGATTTATTTTTATTGGTCGGGTTTTATTGTCTATTTTAACAGTCATAGTGGCATTTTTGTAAATATTATAAATAAGCTCACTATACCTATGGTCAATCCTGCTGTCATTCATTGCTTCTATAAGGCTGTCTAATTCGATCGTGTCGAACGCTTTATGAAAATCTATGAAAGTGAGAACAAGAGGTTTGTTATATTCTATAGATTTTTCAATGAGTGTCTTTACTGTGTGGAGGTGATCATTGGTACCATAGTTTGAGCGGAATCCTGCCTGCTCTCTCGGTTGGTAGAAATCTAATTTTTTCTCCAATCTTGATGTCACTACCCTAGTGAAGAGCTTGTATATGTGGTTCAACAGGCTAATAGGTCTATAATTTTCTAGGTCCGTTCTATCTCCTTTTTTATGCAAAAGGATGGTTGTAGCATTGTTCCACTCTTTGGGCACCTCTCTTTGCTGCAAACATAGATTGAATAGTTTCTTTAATTTATTTAATAGCATATCTCCTCCATTTACGATAGCTTCTATTACGATTCCATCCTCTCCTGGGGCTTTGTTATTTTTCATTTTTCTTAATGCTTGTCGAATCTCATCTAGCTTTATCTCTGGCATTAGTTCGGAACCTTGATTCTTGATCTTCTTTGAAATGGCTGTTTGTATTCCTGTTTTATCTTCTCGTCTACTTCTATATAAGTCCTCGTAAAACTCTTCGACGACCTGTATTAACTCGTCTCTACGTGATATTATTTCATTTTGCTTGTTTCTTAATTTATGAATTTCGCATTTCCCATTCGTTAGCTTTCTACGTAGAACTTTTAGGCTGTTATTTTCCTCTATAGTGCGTTTAATATAATCGGTATTAAATTTCCTTAAATCTCTCCTAATTGCTTTCGAAACAGTTTTGTTCATTTTTCTTAAAGTGTTGCTATCTACATTCTTATCGCTTCTCATTTGTCTTCTTTGATCCAAGAGCGTTTCAGTATATGGACTTATTTTACTATCTGATTTTCTTTTAGGACAGTGCACTCGGTGACTTTCTTGTAAGGCGTTTATGATGCAGTTATTCAAGTCGTTAATATCGTTAGCGGAGGTTTCCTGCAATAGAAGCTTATTATTGATATGTGTCTGATATTGGTTGATATCTAATGGGGGTGTCCAGATACCATGAAATTTATTTTTAATCATTATATTCCTTTCTCTTTTTATATTGATTTGAACTTTCGCTCGTATCATCCTGTGGTCGCTGTTTGTGGTGAACTTGTTGAGTACTGTTACATCTTTAATTATTTGTTTTTGATCACTTATGATGTAGTCGATTTCGTTCCTTGTTCTACCGTTTGGACTTTCCCAAGTCCATCTTCTGTGCATCTTTTTGTGAAAGAAGCTGTTCATGTTGAATAAGTTATTCTGGAGTAGGAATCCTAGTAGCTTTTCTCCTCGATCATTTCTTCCTGGGGAACCGAATTGTCCTAAAGATGTTTCTAGATCTGCTTCTTTTACCCCTATTTTTGCGTTGAAATCGCCACATAAAATTGTGAATTGAGTACGAGAATCATCAAGCGCAGTGGATACATCGTCATAAAACATTTCAATTTCTTCGTCTGTATGGTCTGTTGTTGGAGCGTATACTTGGATAATTTTGAGTTGATACCTACTGTTCAGCTTCAGAATAAGATATGCCACTCTAGATGATATACTTTTGATGTTTATTATCTTGTTCGCGTGATTTTTATGGACAAAGAAACCGATGCCTCCAACTGATGTATTTTCAGGACCAATCTGATAGAATATATGCCCTGATTTGAGTGTTTTCAAAGTTTCACCTCTCATTCTAACTTCGCTAATACCTATGACATCCCATTTTATTTTATTCATTTCAGTTTCCATTTCAGTGAATCTTTCCTCGGAGACATGAATATTACTCCCAAAGAACTAGAAACAAAAAAAAAGTTAAGCCTAATAAAGCACCTCTCTTTGATCTTATTAATGTTGAGATTTTAAACCAGTTGTCGAAGAAAACTGTTATAAAATTAAATTACCTTCTTATGTCTCATAAGAATCAAATATGTTGGAAAATTGTGAAAAGTGGCGAAAGTAAGTATCATAACTAAACCTAGCAAACCATCACACGAGGTGTCGTTATATAAACCTACATCGCTCATTCCTGATATTTCAAAGCTAAATGAAAAAATGCTCCTCATAAACTAAAACCCATAATTGAAGAAGGATATCTAATTATCACGCCAATCTGGATTTAGAGAAAGCCATTCTACTATTAACAAACTTACTAACATCATTAAAACAACACCGGAAGAAAAAAAGTATGCACCATCGACTTCCTGGATATGGCCCAAGCTTTTGACAAGGTGTGCCATAAAGGATTTATACATAAAATATATAAAAATTTACGTACAAAAGCAATGCTTTCTACTCCTAAAATGATAAATATGCTTCATAATCAAGCAGATGGAAGTATACTCTGATTTGAGACAGATAAGAGTTGCCCCAGAAAGAAGCATCTTTGTATTATATAGTTCTATACATTTGATACACCAAATATACCTTTAAACTAAATTATGAATGAGTGCATATTCTGCAGAACTAACTCCTAAATCAAATGATCAATTGGAGTAAAGAATGAGAAATTAAGATGAACCAAACCAAATAGATTCCAAATAAACGAATAAATGAGGTCCAGGTGCACACTGCAAAATATCTGGGCATCACTCTTGATGCAAGACTCAGGTGGAGAGCACATGTTAAAAAGAAAAGACAAGAACTTAAAATCAGGTATAAAAAAATGTATTGGTTGCTTAGTTGCAAGTCGTCGTAGATATTTTAAGGTCATGTAATATCGACGATAAAGAATTAAGGATCATTTCAAACCTCTACCAAGAACAAAAGGCTAAAATCAGAATAGAAAGCGAAACATCTGGAAAAATCAATATCGAGAAGGGAGTAAGACAGGGATGTGTCCTATCACCTTTGCTGTTCAATGTTTACTCTGAGAAGATATTTCAGAAAGCTTTGGAAGGCACCTCGGTTGGTATAATTATAAACGGGCAATGTATAAATAACCTGCGATCTGCTGATGACACTGTCATACTGGCAGATAATGCTGAAGCCCTGCAACGCTTAATGGACCGAGTAACGACAGCCTGTAGAGAATTTGGAATGAAATTGAATACAAAGAAGACAAAAACGATGGTCATCAGCAAGCACCAAAACAGAAGGGTGAAGGTCAATGTCGACGGAACAGATCTGGAAAGAGTAACAAGAACAACGTACCTTGGAAGTAATCTTGATGAAACTTGGGACCACTCACTAGAGATAAGAATACGCCTGGAAAAGGCACGTACAATGTTGTACAAAATGCAAAAAGTTCTATGCAACCGCCAGCTGGGCATCTCATTGAGAACTAGAATACTTAAGTGCTATGTTTTCACCACCTTGCTCTATGGTGTTGAAGCCTGGACAATGACAGAAGCAACACAAAAAAGAATCCAAGCATTCGAACTCTGGTGTTACCGTAAAATGCTCAGAATATCCTACATGAGCCATACGACAAATGCGGAAGTCTTGCGGAGGATGAATAAGGAAAGAGAGCTTATGCTTATAATAAAAGAACGGAAAACACAATATTTTGGTCACATCATAAGAAATCAAAAGTATGAACTGCTCCAACTTATTATCGAAGGCAGTAGCAAAAGAGGACCAGGAACAAGACGCAACTCTTGGCTTAAAAACCTACGGCAATGGACGAACATGACCTCCATAGAACTATTCAGGGCTGCTACAAATAAGATTAAATGGGCAAATGTAATGGCCAACGTCCTTAAGGATAAGGCACCGTAAGAAGAAGAGAATCAAGTCGTCAAGCCTATTTTGAGTTATGACATACAACTATAGGGTTGAGTCAGCGAAAGTAACATACAGAGAACAACAAGGTAACAAGTTACGAAGGAATATCATTGATGCTCCTTGAAGTATAGTTATGAACATGTGGACATTATGTAAATAGGCGATGCCTCATAGGAACTGAAGAAATATTGCTGAGCAATATTTTATGTTTTAAGTTTAGTTAGGATATGTGACAAATAAGTTACTCATTGTTATATCAGTGAACAGGTTGCGATGTTAATAAAAATTTTGATTTAAATGTTAGCCGCCTTAACAAAATTATATCAATTTAAGCGATCGCAGAAAGTATACAACTGAATATTCCATTTTTGTTTTAAGATTGATGCAGTTTAATCAGTTCTATCTAATCAATTGATTAGTCATAAAATAGCAAAAAAAATTGTTTAACAGAAATATTAAAATGACCTTTACCAAAAGTAATTATTTGTTTATTAAGTCAGGTCATCAAATTAGTGATAACTTACCGCAATGACAATCATGCTTGAATCTGGTTTCCATTCTGCAATAACATTTGTCCCAAATTTTTCGATAGATACTTGTGAACGGCGGTGAAAAACGATTGGTACACATGGCTGCAATTAAAATAAATGCATTAAATCATTAAATCATTTCCGATGTATTTTCATCATTTATTTTTGTACGGTGGATACAGCGAAAAACGTAATTTGAAAACGGGTTCCTACGTCAAAGAAAGAAATTTCAACTAAACAGTTAATTTTAGATTTTATTGCGATTTATTCCCAATAATATATTTGACGGCTGATATATTTTGACAAAAAAAAACAGTCGGCGACGAGCTAGAAGGAAGACAATTGGACGACAACATAAAATTTATCGGAGTTAAAGGATCAAGAAGAGGAAGGACAGGACAGAATGGAGAATTATTCTCAAGAAGGATTTGTATTTTATACAGCTGTAACGCCATTGATGGTAATATATTACCGAATATATAAATAATGTTCAATTAACTTAAGACAAAACTAATATCAAATGGTTTAGTTAGGTATGTACCGGGTTTTTCATTATATTTTGACCCCCACTTATTTTCCTTTCGGGAATACAAAAAAAAAGTTTCAAATAAAAGTTGTATTGTTTTATCTATACCGACCAACAGTGTAGCAACAGACCAAATTTTGTATACAGCGATTGCCCAATAAAATGCATCTTTAACATTTCAAATGGGACAACCTGTATTTTTTTTATAGCTTTGAGTAGCATTAGGTTTGTTCTATAATGGCATATGGTACTACAAAAGGGTAACCATAGGTGGCTACGCAACTGACATTTCAAAATTAAACAATTATTAATTGTCAGTCCTCATACCGAAATTGGTTATACTGCAGATGAAAAAGTAGATATATTCTCAATTTATGTAAAAATAATAAAAACAAGCAAGCGGCAAGAAGAGAATATAGGCTGATTTATCCAGATCGACAGACTACTGCAAATACATTTTAATATAATTATCGTCATGTCATAAATAAAAAAAATGTTTGAATGGAAGAAATGTACTATCGTAGGAAATGATGATGAAGATCTTAATACTTTGATTTACTTTGAAGGTAAAAATTAAATACCTAAATAATAGATTAAATTCATAACATTTTTATTTTAGAAAATTCCGAAACTAGTCTAAACAATTCTACTAATGGATTAGAGAAAAGCCGTGCGATGATACATAGAGTTTTTAAAAAGCACAACTATAAGCCGTACAAAATATTACCGGTACAAAAACTTACCGATGTTCATAAGAGAAAGCGTTTACAGTTCTGCCAAGACATGCTTACAAATTTGAACAATGATCCTAATTATTTTTATAACATTTTATGGACAGATGAATTAAATTTTTCAACTTCAGGCATTTTTAATAGAAGACATAGGTATTCGTGGGAACAGAAAAATAATAGGAAAAGAAAAATTAAGCAAATAAAAAAGTCACGAAGAAAATCAATAAATGTGTGGTGCGCAATATTTCAAAACAAAATAGTTTGACCTAAATATGAATTAAAATGAATGGTTGATTCTAAATTAACTGGGGAATCATATTTGGACACAGTCATTACAGAAGTAGATGAGTTATTAAATCAAAATTATACACAAAATCAATGAAATAGTATGATATGGCAACAAGATGGAGCACCGCCACATAATGTAGCCGTTCAAGAATATTTAAATAATCAATTTAATGCCTGGATCGGAAATAAGGATTACCCTTACATGGCCACCAAATAGTCCCGACTTAACACCATGTGATAGCTTTTTATGGCGGTTTTTAAAAGAAAAAGTGTATTTTCATTCAAAACAAATATTAACACTATCATGACAAAAGTTCGTGCGGAAATTGAAAATTTAAGGGGTCATAATAACACAATATCTGAAACATTAGAAAATTTGAGACGAAGATATTACTTGTACATTGATAACAATGGCACTTTGAGCATCTATTGTAATCTTAAATGTAGTATTGTAAGTCATTAATTTTGTTGACTTTCTAAATATATTTTTTTTTTATCTTACTATAGTATAGTAGTACCATACGCCATTATAGAACAAAACTAATGCTACACTATGTTATATATTTGTAATAAAGAAATGCAGGGCTACCCAAAACTATAAAAAAATACAGGGTGTCCTTGAATGAATGCATTTTATTGCGCACTCCCTGTATACAAAATTTGGTCTGATGCTACACTGTTGGTCGGTACAGATAAAATAATACAACTTTTATTTTAAACTTTTTTGTATTCCCGAAATTAAGGAAAATAATTGGGGGGTCAAAATATAATGAGAAACCCTGTACAGCAGACATAACATACAACATGACATAATTGAAACAGTATGTACTAGTTGCATGAAAGTGAATAATATACGGTGTGTCGAAACTATCATAACATAATGTTAAAAAAATGTGATGCATCACTCGCATTCATACACGCAGCGTTCTTGATAATCGATATACACCAGGAAGGCTAGAAAATATTTATAATAAATTTACATGACATATTTTTTACAATAAAATATTGGCGAGTATAAGAAAACAATGAAACAAATAAAGGAATTTGTAGAATTGAAGGAAAACTTGACATTATAGATATTTAATATTGTTCTGAAGCTATTTTCTTGTGGCATATTATCGCAATTTACTATTTTCATTGGAAATAAGCCAGAATTTTACGTTAAAATAAGTTTATTTGATGTTTCGATGTCCTTTTGAAGTGTCCTAATTATTAGAGATTTTTTTACCAAGTAACAAAACAAATTTTGTTTTTGTTACTTGGTAAAAAAAATCTTCTAATAATTTAATTTTATCTGACTCATTGATATTGACAATTCAGACACATTTTAAACTAGATACACAATAAAGATGCGCTAGGAATAAACAAACCAATACATTATGAAGGTTACGAGGAGCACTAACTAATCATGATTTTAACAATGTATAAACATACATATCTACCTCATAAACTATATTAACAGACATCGTAGCATACGCTATCCGCGACACTAGTAATTAGCAACATACTGTATTATTTAGTAGTCATTATAAGCGGAACAATTTACTATGACTTAGTTGGACCCCTGTTGTCTTGGCGTTGTAACCAGGGCGTGCGCCAGGGAATTGTACATACTTGAATTTATTCATATATATTTTATCATCAGAAGAATAACAAAGATGAAATTAAATTAATAAATGTTTTACTACAAAATGAATGAACTACGGTTATGTTAGACTTATCAAATCGAAATTCATGCTTATTGTTTGAGCATGGAGTTACTATTTACAAATTCCAACAATCTATTTAGGAATGGATATCCAAAACTTTTGGAGGAAACTGACGAATGTCACAGTTCTATAATTTACCAAATCATTTCTATTAACCTTCTTATAAATATCAATAATCTTGACCACTTTTAATTTAACTTCACAGAACATTAACTTGATTACATGTATAAGGGATGAAAGTATTGCATTAATTACAAATTTTGTGATAAACCCTAGAATGGCATCAGTTCCACAAGATCTGGTATTTTTCAATATGAAGAAAAACAAGCAACTAATGTAAAACTACATATTTAAGAAAAAGGCCAGACCAAAGTACATTTAACTTGATTAGGTAAAAAAATATTTAATTATATGTAAACATAGATATAATTTTAATTCAAACTTATGTAATAGCATCTAATAAAACCTTAGCAGTTATTTTAAACCTACAACAGTACAGAAAACTCATAAAACATTTGTTATTTGAACAAATACAAAAATAATGTTAATGATGTAGATAGCGCATAAATTGCAATGTCACGTATCACCTATACACTAAAAATTATATAGATTCTTATATTTACATGTGTTTAACTGTTAAAAATTTGCCTTCTATATTGGAACACCCTAAATATAAGGAACAGACCCTAAATATACAGACCATGGCGAGCTACATACATTTTGTGTACTATATGTCTCACGTCGTTTTATTTGATGTGCCATATGCTAGTATTATTCTAGTTGTTTATTTTGTAATCAGTCAGAGGCCTTTTTCAGGTCAATAAAGCGAATATATCTATCGTCATCTATTGTGTCATGTGATATGTCGTATGTTGCTATATGTTCATTAAAAACGAAGACGATGTGTAGTGCCCTTTTGGTAGTATTTTTGATTGTTTTTTCTATCTAAATATATTCGTTATATCTACCCCTTTCATTTAATATGTCGCATGTTAGGATTCGATCAGTTGTTTATTTTGTATACAGCCAGAGGCCTTCTTTAAGTCAATAAATCAAAATTTGTCTTATAGTTAAACTATTTTTATCTATAGTAATCTCTATCCATCTATGACATCTCGTATGTAACTATCATCATCAGTTGGCGCTACAGCCCTTCGTGAGCCTTGGCCTGCTTCAAAACATTCTTCCATCCTTCCCTATCGAGTGTCTGTCTTCTCCAGCCCCTCACTCCAATCTCCCTCAGATCTTCCTGTACATCGTCCAGATATCTGAGTTTAGGTCGCCCCCTTCTTCTTCTTCCGACCGGCCTGTTTAGCATAGTTATTTTAGTGGTATCACTCTCATCCATCCGCATAACGTGGCCCACCCACCTTAGGCGGTTTATTTTGATGGTCTTCACAATATCTGCATCACCAAAAAGTCTATAGAGTTCAAAGTTATATCGCCTTCTCCACAGACCCTGTTCGTTTACTCCGCCATATATGGTCCTCAATACTTTTCTTTCAAAGACTCGTAGTAACTCTTCACCTCGGGTCGTCATTGCCCATGTTTCCGATCCGTATGTGAGCACTGGGCGTATTATTGTTTTATAAAGTTTGCACTTTGTTGCTATTGACATACTTCACGCTCTTAGTTGAGGGCCCAGGCCAAAATAACAGCGGTTAGCCACGCATATTCTTTTTTTATCTCGTTGGATGTGTTATTTTTGTAGTCTACCAGTGATCCTAAGTAGCAGAATTCTTCTACCATTTCTATCGTTTCGTGTTGCACCTCTAAGTTATTTTGTTGAATTCTTGATATGGCCGGCATATATTTAGTTTTCTGGATGTTAATCAGAAGTCCGATGTTTTCTGCGGCATTTTTGATACGTGTCAAAGCCTCCACTGCTTCATTTTGGGTTCTTCCAATTATGACGATATCATCAGCTTATGCCATTATTTGTATACTACAGGTATATATCGTACCTTTTAAGTTTATTCCCGAATCTCTCATAATTTTTTCTAACGCTAGGTTGAACAGCGTGCACGATATCGGATCTCCCTGGCGCAGTCCTCTGTTGGTTTTAAATGGTTTTGAAACATCCCTTGTACGCGCACTTTACATTCGACTTTCATCATTGTCATTTTAATTAATTCTACCAAACCTTTTGGTATTCCTAATTCGATCATCGCCGAATATAATTGGGACCTGTCAATAGTATCGTAAGCTGCCTTAAAGTCTACGAAGATGTAATGGCAGTCTATGTCGTACTCCGTCGTTTTTTCTAATATTTGTCTGATGGATGATATGTGATCAATGGTAGATTTGTTTTTCAAGAAGCCTCTTTGGTAGGATCCTATTATATTGTCAGTATACCGTGCCAGGCGTTCGTTAAGTATCAGGGACACAATTCTGTATGCTGTATAAAGAAGGGAAATCCCTCTAAAGTTGGAACATTCAAGAATGTTTCCTTTTTTGTGTATGGGGCATATAATTCCAGTATTCCAATCTTCTGGTAACGCGCGTTCTTGCCATACCTGTATTAGTAGTTTGTGAAGGAGGGTTACAAATGTTTGACCGCCACATTTAAATATTTCTGCAGGTAGGTTGTCTGCTCCGGGTGACCTTATGTAACTATATGTTCATTAATAATGAAGACACTCTGAACGTCCTTTTGGTAGTCGCCTTGTTTGTTTTTTCTATCTTAATTATATATTCGTGATATCCTTCCCTTTCATTTAACGTATCACAAGCTCCACTTGAACCAATAACAAAGGAGATATGTTATATAGCCCTCTTAGCAATGCCGCAATGTGTGTTTTTTTTGTCTTCACATATTCGCTACCCCCACCCTTCTTTCCAATTGTGGAATGAACCTTAGCATTTTCTTATAGGATTTTACATGAGAAATGGAGCAGAAAAGGTATAGCAGCGTTTTTACATGTATAGCTTTTAGTTAAGTTTATTTCTGTTTAATTATGTTTAACTTAATTTAATTTTATTAAATTCTATTTACCTTTATTTATTTTTATTTAATTTTATTTAATCTTATTAATTTCAATTTCTATTATATTTTATTATATTTATCTTACTCAATGACATAGGTATACAAATTAGTATATTACATAACGAGAGTTGTAAGAAGCTTATTACATGCGAGTAAAAAAGTTGCGCGCGAGCAGCGTAGCGGCGAGCGCAGTAATTTTACAAGCATGTAATAAGCTTACAACTCAAGTTGTGTACTATACTTTTTCTACGATTATTTTCGTTTATAAAAATAAAAATTAAATTACCACTATATTTACACTGACAGATTAATAATTTTTAATCTGTCAAAATAACGTCTGTTAATTCGTTTCCATGGTAACTCGACCAACTGACTTACGAGGCTTATGTGATATTACACATTTTTATAAAACTGAAGCGTAATTTTTTTTATTACGTGTTAGTCATTACGTGTCAGTATCTATTATGATACATTTACTTAGCATCCAAATAATAGGTAATATACAATTTACTAGTAAGAGAGTAGAAAAATATATTATATGTCATTGATCTTACCTTACAATTACAGTAACCTATATTTTTTACCAATTTTGCGAAAAAAATAATTACTGTGAAGTAGTAAAATTTCTGATTAACAATATCTGAATCATCAATTTGAAGAATGTATTAGCAATAAATCAACTGTATAGTTTCAAGAACAAAATATGATTGAAATGTCAAATGGTGGTAGTTTAGATTTCTTTCCTAGATGGCTTCGTTACCTTACTGGACAAACAGTGTGACTTGTCATTATAGCCTTTTATATATAGATAGATATGGTAGGAACTCGAAGAGCTAAACAAAGATTGAACAGACAGAATGTATATTTTAGACTGCCAACAGCGCTACATTACTTGAAAGAACAGCAGATACGATAAGAAGCTTTTTATCAATTTCGCCGAGTTTTGCCCAACTTTTTAAAAAGTTAACATTCTCGAAAAATATGGTATTCTATTGTGGAAAGAAGATATTTTATCATGAAAAGTTATTTCAGTTGGTCAATCCACGAACTATTACTTAGTGTTTTACGTTTTTGTGTAAAAACTGAACCATTTTCAGTGATATGAGGCAAATTAGCCATTAGTAAAATAATAGAATTCAAAAATTTTGGTTGTTATAATCCCTACTCCATGACGACTGAAGACTGTTTTAAAAAAACTTTTAAAACAGATATTGCAATTTATACCACTATTGAAATGATTAAACTATGTTCTAGTAGTCAAACAGAAAAGGAAACAGGAATGTATAATCTACAAAGAAATTGATAATAATGGGATCTTGATCATGAGAAAGTCATTTGATCAGCATCCAATTCTTTTTTTCACAGACCAAATTTTTTTCCTCATCTCTGAGCAGGTTATAATTTATGGGTATAGGAAGAATAAATATTTAACATAGTATCCTTTACATCCACAATTGAGGATAGCAGTTTTTAAGAGTGGATACCAGGAAGAGGAATATGACTATCAGTGGATAAGTGACAGTATTGATTTACCAACACTTGAGACAAGGAGAACAATGTTAGATTTATTGTCCTCAATTGTTATCACCCATGAGTCTTAAAGTACCCAGTAGAAACAACAGGCAATCAGAAATATTTTCAGTGCCATTTTACCTCACTTTACCTCATTTTACTCACTAATTATGGTATCAATGAACCAACTACATGATTGGTCCAGAGTTCTAACAGCCTGCCCAGACAAATAAATATTTTTGACTCCAAAATTAGTTTATTTAAAAAACAACTGAAAACAACAAAAAGGAATCTTATAATAAGTGATCTCTTTTACATGTCAATACTAGTCTACCCTTGATAGTTTCATTAAAGTTTGTTATAGTTAACTGTTCTGAGATGTTTATATTTTAAAAATTCATTGTTTTTAAGTAAGGTGTAGCTTTGTTAAAACTTTTGTAAATGGATTCCATTAATAAGTAAATAAAATAAAATTTCCTCGGAAATTAACTGTCTAGTAAGGTTTCATCTGGCCACATAATATGGTCAGTTCATTTTTGCTATGAAGCAAATTTGGTTGCAATAATACTTTTTTTTACTAAAGAATAATGTTTTTCTGTCCTCGAAAACTTTGATAGTATCTAATGTAATAACATTTGGTTATTATTTACAAAATTCATTATAAGAAAAGTTATTGTTATGACTTTTCTTAATGTAACTATTCCTTAGCTGATAATATTGATGATCAAAATTATTCAGTGGCCATCTTGTTCTTGCCTAAACTGATTTTCTTCTATGGGGCTATGTTAACAAATCAGTCCGAAATTCTCTTTATTTCTAATTTGACTTATTTGTTTTTGTTGTTGTTTTGTTATGTTTTGTCTTATAGTCCAAGATCTCATTGCAAGATCATTACATTATCTATATTTTATAGCTTCTGTATGTGGCACATTTTAAAGTTCTTGACATAAACTTAAATATGGTATGCTCACTTTTTCACATAGTTTTAACCCTCTAGACTCTATATATTAACATTCAACAGTATACCATTACAATGAGTTGAATAAGCCCAGAACATGTAACTGATGTGGTTAACATACAAGAACCTATCAAAATATGCATCCATATGAGAATGATGGTCAGAAATTATATAAGTTATTTAAATATGTTTAAAGAATAAACAGACTGCATCAATAAGAGAACAATATAATATTTTGGGTCATCATATGAGAAATTAATACTGAACCTAATTGGGCGGGTATTGATAGCACAGGTTAATATGTAATATATAAACAACAAAAGTTAATAATTAAAGGCAAAACTTAATGTAATCATGGTCTAAGCAGAAGAAAGCTTGATGGTTAAAGACTTTCACTATTCTGAGCAGCAGTAAATAAAGTGTAGATTATGCCAATAATAATTGTCAACATTAAAAAAATTTATATAGCATAGGAATTTGCCACTTGGTCGGTCCGAACAAAAACAAGATGTAATGGTTGCTAAAATATGAAAAAATGTTGTCTATACATTTACTTTATAGTTAAAAACAGTTTTAGTATGGATATATTAGTCTTTTATTAATTTTTAAAATATTGTGTTAAAAAAACAATATTAACTGTACACTATTTTTCATTGTACATCATTAACTTAGCTCACTATTAAATAGATTAGCAGTAATTCACTGGCTTCAGATATTGAACAGTTAATTCAATTTAAACTTTCATTGTCTATTGTGTGTATTCAAATATAATGAGGTTTCTTACTTTCACATGATTAAATCAATAAATCTACTTACTCTGCAAAACCATATTCCTAAACAGTCGTCTGTAATAATAGCAAATAATATTCTGTCCCTGTTAGAAGTTATATGTTTAATTGTAGAGTCACCCAATTCGGGTGTTTTGATCACTTTTGGCCAACCAATTGGAAAATACATGTTATTTTTCCATTACACAAAGTTAATTGAAAACTACAATAACTGCATCACATATCAATAAAGATGTTTCTATAAGATCTTCAGTTCCTAATACATATTTATAATTTAAATATACCCCAGATAAATCCAAAGGCAAAAAGTCAAGACACTACAAAAATAAAATAAACACAACTGACATTACTTTTTACTGTTGTTGACATTTCCCTGACGTCCTGACACGAGTTAACAAGAAAATTATTGCCAACTTAAGATCTTAATTTTAGAATTAAAAATATGATTTAGATGGCTGCATGTTACTCTGTTATCTTTTTTAATTTTAATTCTTATTAAATTTAACACTAATTTTATGTGATTTGTTACTGGAAATTGGAAGTTCAGAATAATTTAAAGTTTGATTTAAGACTACAGTTGGTATACTCGCTTCAAATAGTTTGATTTACAGGATTGGCTTAGCCCACTTAGTATCAAAGAAACATTTCAATTAAAAGATTTGATTTATAAAAATTTTGCCTGCCTAACCCAAACTCACACCGAATATCTTGCCGAGAAAAACTTTACGCAAAAAATGCAGCTGTGTCTAAACTGAAAATAGGCAATGGTAGCTACTCGATTTCTTTCGCGGATTTATAAAAATAGGAAGATAATTCAAATTTCACAAGGAAAACAATTCCTGTATACCACGTATCACAAAAAAGAGGTTAGTCTTTGTAAGTGGGTATATTTATTTAAAAACCCTTAAAAGGGCTACATCAAAAAAACAAACGTTTTCGGACTAAACAGTCCATCATCAGGTTTAAAATCTGCTAGGTTAAAATGCCTGAGCCACCAAAAATACATGGGTAAAAACCCTTTAAATTACTTATAGTTATAAAAGATTATACATCTTGTTGTTAAAAAACTGTGATGTTCATTATTAAATTAAATATGACTTCAGGTAACATACATTGCAAACAATTTTTTTTTTGAGTTCCAGAGTCGGGGAGAAAACCTGTACGCACGGAGAACAGCTGGAAAAACTCTTTTATACTCAGTATACTCAGCTTAATTAATAAATTATTTTACACACTATCAATTTTATTGAAAACATACAAAACCTGCTTACCAGTTAGACCTAAATAGAAATTACATGGGGTCTATATGGCACCACATCCGTAGTTATGTTCCAGAAAGTACACGTCAGTGGTAGAAGGTTAAGTACCCTCTTGGTAGCGAACATGTAACAAAAATTGTTGCACCATCGGGGTATTCGGTATGATATGTAGTAGGTATAATCTGGTATCTTGAAGTAACTCTTTTTTGTACAATGTGTTTCAATTTGCAAACATATATCACAGCACATATATTAAAGCACAGATTTTTTTTATGATCGATGATATATGACTTTGGGTGCAATTCCGAAATTGTAATTAATGACCCATCATTATATGATATTTTGTTAATGAGTATAGATATCAGATGCATAAAATCACATTTAAGAGGTCGTCTATTATGACTTTTAATTTTGTCATGTTGTTAATTTGTTGTGCTATATTATACCAATATAGCTATATTAGAGTTGGTTTGATTATTTATTTGTGATATCTATGATTAGGTTCTTTACGCGTATGTGATTGTGACGTATGTGAAGGTGGATTTCTATCCTCTACAACGCAGTAATGTTTTTAAAAAAATCTCTTGTATTCGTTATCCTCCATATCGTAAGCACTGTGTTATCTCTCTAGTAGTAGACGCTTCGGAAATAGCACCATTGTTCCCATTTTCTTTTAAATCTATAAAGTACATTGAGAGTTGTTTTTGGTATTTTAAACTTTGTTTTATGTCTTCGATATTCGTTGAAGAATGAATATTTTTAAATAATCCCCTATCTTAGACAATCTTGAAAGATATATATATATATATATATATATATATATATATATATATATATATATATATATATTATATGCATATTGTAATTCGGAAATCCCAGGAAGAAAAACAATGAAAAATAAATAACTAATTTTTTATTTATACTAATTAAGAAATGTTTAAATAAATAATCATTTTATAATTATATTATACATTAATTCTACTGTAAATTTTCTTTTGTAATATTAAAACTATTTAAACAATAACACATAACTAAATCAACTAGTGAATTCCTTCCAAAGGAGAAAATACTTTATATTGGTACAGTTTATCATCCCCATATCCATATAAAAGTCTTCCAACACCATTTTCATCATAATAAGGGTATCTATACTTTGGTCTGAAAATAAAAAATATGTTTATTAATTTTAATTTTTTTATGTGACTGGATGATTGACACCTAGTCTATGCCATTAAAAAAATGTGTATTGTATTACCAATATAAACAATTGAGTTGATATACAGAATGGGAAACAAAGAAATCAAAATACTCTGTTACGTACACGACGCAATATTGATAGCCCAAGATGAAGATAGTCTGCAAAGATTGGTTCACAGATTTAACATAAGAGCAAAAGAATTTAATATGACAATATCATCTCAGAAAACTAAAATAATAGTAGTCAGCAAAGAATCAACCAGATGTAAAATAGAAATTGATGGCATCGTATTGAACAAGTAATGGAAATAAAATACCTGGGAATTACACTGTCTAGCTATGGAGACCTGGACAAAGAAGTAAGAGATCAACTACAAAAAGCAAATAGACTGGCAGGATGCCTTAATAACACTTATGGCGAAACAGACACATTAAGACTGAGATGAGATCAAGAATTTATAAAGCCAGTGTAAGACCAATAATGACATATGCTTCAGCAACAAGACCCGACACAGCTACAAGGCAAAGGCTACTGGAAACGTCAGAGATGAGAGCACTGAGAAGAATTACAGGATATTCGCTGAGAGATCGACAGAGAAGTGAAGACATTAGAAGAAAATGTAACGTACAGTGTATAAATGCACTTCCAAGCAAATGCTACAAGCTGCACTTCCGAACGATGTTTCTTCAAATTAAGCATTGTAAAAACAAAATTTTCGGTTAACAACAAAAAATACAGATTAGAAAATCTTATGATGTTCATAGAAAAAAACTTGCTGATAATTTAGATCTTGATTTAGTTGTAGATGAATTTAAAAAATGTCGTCTTTAAACAGAAGAATGTGATTCTAGTTTTATTATTCAGTATACTTTAACCCTTAAATGCCCAATCGGGGTCACTATGGGACCCCAGACATACATTTTTGGCTATAATATCTTTATTTGAAACATTTGGCAACCGCGCAATCAGGTATTTGTGTGGACGTGTCTCCTACGTTTTCTGTTAGTATACCACGAACATTCGTGAGGTGCAGTGGTCTGTAAGAGAGATTTAGATAAGTGGGGTCTCGCTGTGACCCGATTGGGCATTTAGAGGCACCAGAATATTTTTATTATTTTTAACATTTTTCGTCAGTTTACATTGAAAAATGGACCGTAAGAGAATGAAAATGACAATAAGCGACCAAGAACATGAAAAAATTATCCGAAATATAGAAGAAGGGATATCAGACTCCGATTTCGACTATGAGATTACCGACGAATCAGATAGCGAAGAGCAAGATGTTTTTGAGGAAAATGTTTCGGAAACTGAGGACAATTTAGAAGTCAACAGTGACGAGGAATCAGATGCAGAACCTACCGAAGTGGACGATAATATTAGTGAGGTTAGTGGTCCAACATATACATCCAAATCTGGAATGCAGTGGAATAGCCTACCTTTCGTGAGATCCAAGAGGCAACAAAAAAATATTATAAATGTACATCCAGGCTTAACAAACTATAGTAAAAATTCCAACACGTTTTTAGACTATTTCAATTTATTTTTGACCGAAGAGATGAAGAATGTCATATGCCTTCATACTAATGAAGAAGCTGTTAGGCGTTATCAAGAGTGGAACGAAAAACATCCGAATAACAAAAAAGAGTGGACGGTACTTACCAACAATGAACTGGATAGCTTTTTAGGAGCACTTATCAAAGCTGGTGCTTTAAGGTGTGGGAAAGAATCGACACGAGAGATATGGTCTACAGACACCTCAATACGCCGGTCATTTTTTACAGCCGCATTAGCTAGGAACCGATTTGAAGAATTATCGAGTTTCTTGAGGTTTGATGACAAAGTGACCAGGGTGGAGCGGAAGGAACAGGATAAGTTAGCGGCGATACGAGTAATTTGGGACATGTTCGTCTCTAACTGTGACAAAGCCTTTGAACCATACGAACATATAACCGTTGACGAACAGTTAGTGAGTTTTAGAGGAAAGTGTCCTTTTAGACAATATATAAAATCAAAACCTTGCCGCTATGGGATAAAAATTTGGGCTGCCGCGGATGTTAAAACATCTTATTTATCAAAACTTCAGGTGTACCTTGGAAAACTACCAGGTGGTAGAATAGAGAAAAATCAGGGATTTCGTGTTGTGAAAGATCTGGTGGAACCATATCATGGCAGTTGGAGAGGAATTACAACTGACAACTTTTTTACCAGTGTTCCTCTTGCTCAATATCTTTTATCTAAAAACCTTACTTTACTTGGGACCGTCCGCAAAAATAAACCTGATACACCACCACAACTAAGTTTGACAAAAAGACCTGCGGAGTCGTCAATATTTGCTTTTACTAAAGAATTAGCTATGGTTTCGTACATACCTAAAATACACAGGATGGTACATCTTCTTTCAAGTCAACACGATAGTGATATAATTTGTCAAGACTCTCAAAACAAACCCTTGATGATTTTAGACTATAATAATACCAAGGGTGGTGTTGATAATGCCGACAAACTGATTAGGGAATATTCCTGTAAAAGAAGAACTGCTCGTTGGCCATTCAGGCTCTTTATGAATATTATAGACATATGTGCACTAAATGCCTATATTTTATACATTGAAAAAAATCCTGATTGGAAGAAAAATAATTTTTCACGAAGACGTATTTTCCTGTTACAATTAGGGGCTGAGCTTGCTCGAAACAACATGGAAAAAAGAGCGAAATATATAAAACATAAAGCCTATGTAAAATCTGCTCTAAAAGATTGTGGCATACCAATGGTAAACCCAACTACCGAAGTTGCAACTCAATCCGTCCATTCAGCTAAGAAACGTGCTCGTTGTTACCAGTGTCCGCGAAACTGTGACAGAAAAGTGAATACCGTTTGCTCTTTTT